TTACAGTACACCAAATTCACTAGTAGAGATAAAAAAAAATATACTTACACTCGACATTATACCTACTCTGTACGCATTGTAGTTGACGCATACCATCGTACGCTTCTTTCGAGTACGAAACAAAATGTCCACACCCTCATCAAATTGAAAATAAACAAAAAAAATACTTTCAGTCTGATGTTGTGATTCTCTGACCCTAATGAAAAATATCGACGCAGTTTCATGTATCAAAGGAATTCATTTGAAACTTCATCCATGACCCATCACATCCGACCAATCCAAATATGATACCTATATAGGCTATAAGGATTCTCATTAAAAAAAATTAACTGCGCTTGTGAAGAATACTTACACGAGTTAAACAAATCGTAAGTCAGAGAAACTGATGACCCAGTAGTCAAGTTTCACGCCCCGCATACCTACCAAATTCTAAAATATGCATAAGGTAGGTAAATTCCTATACTGAGTTAGATAGTTTATAGATTGATCCTTGTTCCCATATTTTATAGGTAGGTGCCTACCTATATACATATTATAATAGTCAATGGCAGGCCCTATTATTTGTAAAATTTCAGACTGCACATTTCATTTTATTCTCGCTACCATCTTAGCAAAAGGAATGTATTACATAATACATATTACATATATAATATATATATATTATATACCATATGTATACAATAATTTAACAATGCAATTCAATAAAACAACAAAATACTTATCTTTTAATAAAAATCATAAAAATTAAATAGCATAATATAATAATAAAAACCTTAACTTAACTTTTTAATAATTAAAATCATAACAATGCATATTACTTTCTTGATTTTTCATCAAGTAAGTATAGTAATTGAAATTAAAAAAGTCTGAACTTTGAAAACTTCAAGAATTTGTGTTAAATAGGAAAATAATAAAAATGTAACTCAGTAATGATGAATAGGTGGGTAATTTAGCTAGCTTTAATATAAAATATTAATAAGAGAGATTTTATATCACACCCAAGTGGTATACCCAATTTGAATCGATAAAAACATTCGCGTGAACAGTCCCAAAATTTCTATTTTTTAACTTTTATCCTATAAACTATGATACCTAGCTAGAAATTTGGTTGATAACTCATTAAAAAGGGATTATCAGGTAGACACTAAATGTGGAATTAATTTTTTTTTTTTAATTATTTAATTTTTCACAGATAAAAAAAAAAAAAGAGTTATTAAAAAGAGTTATTTTCTCTAGATTTTCATTTAGAGATGTAGATCTCCGAAACTGGAGAACGGATTTTGTTGTTTGGGGTTTTGTTAAATTCACATTTGCTAGGAGAATTGCAGTGAAGATTTTCAGAACTTTATCTAAAATCGTTAATTCATTACAAAGCTGTAAAGATGAAAAACATCAAAAAACGCCCAATAAAATTTGTTTTAATTTATTTTAATGTTCTGTAGTGAATTAACTATTAAAGATAAAGTTCTGCAAATCTTCACTGCACTTCTCCTAACCAATGTGAATCAAACAAGACCAAAATCAACGAAATCCGCTGTCCGGTTTCGGAGATCTATCTCACTAAATGAAAATGAAAATGATTTTTTGTGGGGCTGTTCACGCCGACATTTTTCTGGTTTCATATTGTTTGACCGCTTGGGTGTGATTAAATCAGTTAAAAAATTTCTAAAAATTCAAAATCAAGAAAGTTTACATGCCGATCCCTGACTTGGCTTTTTTTTTTGTAGACCGTAGTGCACACACGTTCAAATCGTAGTGCACACTTGTATATTCGTAGTGCACATTGTGTGTCGTGGTGCACATAAAAATAGGGCCTGGTCAATGGCGTATATAGGAATTATTTTCAGTATGGGCCAATTAATCGCTAGTCAAGTGTAGTACAATTACATAGCCATAACTTTACATTTTTTTGGGAGCTGGGTGGTTATAGTTATGACATATACAATACTAATAAAAATTGCGCAATTTAATTTTATAATTATTATGTAAAATTAAATTTTTAATTCTTTTTAAAAATATATTGACAGTTTCATATATATATTTTAATGTTATCTTACTATGAATTTAACATAAAAGTCATCAAAGAAATTCCTGACAATTTAATATTTCCTTGTTGATTCTTCATAAACGATTTTAATTATAGTGAAAAACTGTAAACAGTGTAGATATAATATGTACATTATACAAGCAATGCTTTAATTGAACCTGCAATTTCACTATGGGCTCTGGCCTAGGGGGCCTCCTCCTATATACGCCACCATTAGTGTAACAGAATGAACTGACACCGACTAATTATAATATAATATGTAATACCTAAGTAATAAGCTATAACTAAAAATTTTAGTTCTTATAAATATTAATAAAAAATATATATATATTATTTATATGTTATTATTATATATTTTTATATTATAGTTTATACACCTATAACCTATGATAAATATTTTGAAGAAATTTACATTTTCAGTTTTTTCTGTTACACCTTGTAATTTGTATAGGTATAGCTGGTAATGCAGGTTTAAATGTTAATCGTACCTACCTATATTTTATATTATTATGTTATAGGAATACCCAATGGTAGGTACCCAATTAGGCCCCCAAATATATTCAACTAAAATAATAATTCTAAAGCTGGGTTGCATATAATGTTGATTTAGTTAATGATTCACTAAAATTTAATGAATTAATTTTGGTACATACTATATATATGTTCAGGTTATGATTGCTTATGCTGCAACTTATATAAATGGACTTATAGTATCTCACGCAGTGGTGTAGTGGAGGGTATACGAGGGTACACGGTGTGTATCCACCTCCTAATTTTATATTTATGCCCCCCTCATTGTTTTTTACAATGATGTGTACCCATAAACTTTTTTAGGACTAGATCACTGATCCTAGGTTATTAGGTAGTTAGTACCAAAGATAGTTGTCACACTATCATTTATCACAAAACTACCATAATATACCAAAACTGTTTGGTGTGGGAAAAACAAGATGGCTACAACCTACAGGCACAGGTAAGAAAACACATTTTAACCATAAAAAGAGGAAAATTTTTAATTTACAGTTTACAATGTTGTTTAAAGTTTATTTTTGATATCAAGTTGGAGAAAAAATGCATTCAAGTTTGAAATCTTAAATATAAAGGATTGTACAGCAATCATTATAGCTGGTCATTACAAGAAAATATAAATATAAATTTAAAGAATTATATAAATGGCATCATCTAATTTCTGTAGTTGGTCATTGCATTAGGTAGGTACTTATTTGTTTTTACTAAATTATATAAATAATTTCTTTTAGACACGTCATGTAAAAAACATGTAGATACAAATTGGCTATAACTGAGTGTAGTGCAATAATTTTACTATTTTAGAGCTAAAACACTACCAAATTATAAAATCAAAAGATGATAACATTTTGGAAAAATCTGTATTTAAATTTTTCAATTTTCTGCACACAATTTTTGAAATTGTAGGTTGTAGGTTTATCAATGTAGGTTTTTACAATACAATAAACAAAGACAAGGTTCAGCAAAAACTATATTTTTTTGAATACATATTTTTACAAGGAGCCCTTAGCAATGTGCATGTATAGTACATTGAGAGTACATAACAATTTAAAATTTAAAATTATTATCATCGCCTGAAAGTTTAATAACCAACAAAGATATTGTATTTTTATTATATTGCTTAATATATGATTGAATTAAGCACGAAAAAACTAAAATATTCTAGGCAATAATATTATGCTCTTCAAACTATTAAAATATTGAAAAAAAAGATAACAAGTATTTTCAATAAATGGCAGGTACTTAAATAATATGTACAATAATAAATGGAAGGTAATTTTGTTTTTCAAGATAGATTTATGCCAAATAATACATTTTGAAAAATAAAATTTTTTATAATTATTTTTAAAAATCATATAGTCAACACAGTAACACAAAGTTTTAATATGGCTTGCAGCACAAAAGCATTAAAAACCTGTCAATACATACAGAAGATCCATTTCTGTTATTTTTATAAAGAACAGTCTTAACTATCTTAAGCCTTAAATATTACATCATGTATTGGTATAATATTTAAATAAAATATATTAATATTTTATAAAAACTAAAACCTGCAAAAAAATAAAACTTAAACATACATAATATAGTAAAAAAACCTATTCAATAATTTTAACATGACAATAAAATTATATTATTTTCAAGAAATTGAACCCTTCATAAATTCTAAGTGCCAAAAATCATTTGTACTAAATATTAATAATTTGGTATAGCCCATAATATCCAAACAGAAAGTGTTTTGCCAACTGTATATCAAAAGACATAAGTGAATTCTTTATTAAGTATAGCCATAGATAAAACATAAAAATATATATACCTATGTGAAATAATATATTAAAGTATTGTTTAAAAATTACTAAAATTAAAAAAAATACAGTGCCTTGTTGGATCATTATTTAATCTTTAACATTGCATAAGTATACATTAAATATAGTTTTTAATAGGCCACAGGTTACCTTTAAAATAAAATTATTTAAACTAAAATTATAACAAATTATAACATTTGATGACAAATAGTGAATATATTTTATAAATAATAGCAAGTTACATAAAATGACAATTTTAATTTTATTTTTAGAATATACAATATTTTTTTTATAAAAAAAAGGTCTTGGTTCTTTAAAAGTACAATAATTTATTAAAATATAAAAACTTGAGGTGAAGCATACAACAAAATGATCCTTCATAAAAAAAAAGTATTTAAAAGCATACACATTACATATTTATTAGATTATTTTACATAAGTCTTATCATTAATATAAGGCACATAGATTAAAGTTTAAGACTATGACTAACAATAATATAGACAGTCTCTGTATATTACTTATAAAATAGTTATATAATGTGTTATATAATGCCAATTTATAATTTTAGTATAAAATAAGTCCTAAGTATCAAGAAAAATTAGGTTTATATTAAAAGTTAGATACTAGGATTTCCAAAAATTTGGATTTAAATTTAACTTCCTCTCAAAGTTTTCGTACCATTTTTGAATTAATAATAGTGGTACCATTGATGTTTGCTGTGGACCGACATCAACTGCATAACTTGATACGTAATTGTATAAATTTTGTACCATTTTTTGTGTGAACTCAACAAATGTTGATACATTTTGTGTTGATTCTATGCAGGTTGTTTGTAATTCAGCATTTATCAAAGGTTCAATAGATATACCAATTTGAGCATTTATAGAAATTGATGGGAATTGACTGAATGCGTTTATTGGTTGGTTTGTAACATCAAAATGCTGTTTAAGATTTGAAAGCTTAAATATAGCGGATGGCTTGTTATTGGACAGAATACCTAAAAGTTGCCAATTTGGTCTTGCATTTTCATCTGGCCAACTGAAGTACACTAGAATATAACATATTAAATAAATACATAATATGATTGAAGTGTTATAATGTTTGTAAATATAATAATTATATTATATTTAAATGTAATACTATAATGACAAAATTATTAATCAAATATATGTAAATATAAAATATTTAACAAAAACTATTGCAATTAATATTTAAATGCTGTATTTACTCTAAAATCTAAATACAATCAATTTTTACTGTATAATTCATAATTGGTTAGGTAATTTATATTGTCCTGTAATATCGCTGATTTAGACTGTAGTAATTTTTATACCAATGAAATAAGGTATAAATAATATATTGTTGATATAAATAATATATACTTTTTCAAAAACTCTTGTAAATAATAAATAAATGTGTAAAAATGTTGCGTTTGTTGCTTTGACAAGTTAATGTCGTATAGGCATTATATAAACAATTTTTTTTAAATATGTATGCAAGTAGTTTCTTACGTTTCCTATAACCTTAATCTAAGATAAGACCTAAACTATTATTTCAATTACAAAAGTTTTTTACAGTTGCTTAACTTGATGTTAGTGTCGAATAGCGCTATGGTCAAAATTACCACACTTTTTTTTACATCTTGAATAAGACAACAATTTTACATTTCAATAATTGATACTCAATATACCTTTTACAAATATTATTAAAAATACTATAATAATATTCTAAATAAATTTAACATCTTGGCTGACAAGGTTTATTTGAAGACTTCAATTGCCTGCCGGAGGCTTCATATAATTTGTACATTCCTATTTTTCAAAAATATTATCCATTTTATGTATAAGTAAGTCTTTATAACCATATTATATAGATTGTAAAAATTGTAAGAAATAATTATTTGTTTTGAAAAAAATTAATAAAAATGTATGAAACATTTTTTATTATTGAAAAATATAACATGGTCGAAAAGACCTCGATTTTAATAATGATGTAATTTACATTGGCGGGACTAAGGTTGGGTGAAATATTTATTTTATAACAAGGTGGCTTGCAAACACTTACTAAAAATTTTAAAACTAATTAAAACACAACCGAAATTTTCATTTCACTGAATGAAAATAAGTTAGAAGCTAATAAAATTGTTGTGACTATGGATTCCAATAAAAATTATCCAATTATACAGATTCTGACAGAGTTTTAACAATAGAAGAGGTAAAAGTAAATTGGTTCACAGTATAGGCTTTGAGTATGTGTTCAAGTGTCAGATGTTGTGAATAATCAAATTATTTAGGTACATAATTTGTTCGGCATTATATGCATTGTATTGTGCCTATTGGTGTATTTAACTATGAAATTATAAGTTTTAAATTAATACTATTAATTATACTGTTCAAAAGTTATGGGGATGTTTTTACCTGAACCTGCTGTTCCCTCGGGAAATGGCACAAGACCAGTCAAAAACACACAAATATAATTCACGGATTCAGCTGAGTTGATAGTTATCATAAATTTTGTTTCTTCTAAACGTTCAAAATCGGTCCGTACCTAAATAACAAACATTATTATTATTATAATGAAAATAAAAGTGTATAAAAAACTTGTTATGATAACATCAATTGAAGTTTTTTGGTGGCAAACTTATATGATGGGCAAGCCACAAATCGTATACAACCCGGCAGGGTTATGAAATCACCTACTACTCACCAATCTGCCGCTGACCAACAATCCAAACATAGCAGGCACCGAGTCCACCATTGCAAGAAATCACGGGTGGACGGAATTAATCGGACAGCTAAATAGCCAAATACGTCGTAAACGGTTCGGACTTGGCCGAAATTCGTTGCGACGTTGGACGTTGGCGATCGCAAATCTAAGTCACTCGTAAACAATCGACCAGGATAGTACGAGCTGGTTTTAGGCGTCACCGTGCCTTAATTTTAAACTTATGTCATACAGAGTAAGGGATATTGGATTCGATTCAAACGACGGCTAAAATGAAATCGCAAACGCGCAGGGAACATTCTAGATGTTTGAGAAGACTAGATAAGAGAAGAGCCGAGATGATGCGTCCTTGTACATCAGCCACTTATCACTTTTGATAAGGTAGATACCACAATCTGCATATTCTATTACCTACACACACAGATATATATAATTATTATATATATCTGCAGGGACTAAAATTGTGTGTAGTACGAAATACTAAGTGTGGAATACGAAATTAAAAAGTGTGTAATGGCCTGTAATAACTACTATACTAGCTTTTTTTTCCACTTTTTTCTTCGTTAATTGAAAAATTATTTGATGTTTCGTTGGGAAATAGACAGATAATAATTTTAAATATTAATAATAATTATTACGGATTATTAGGAGTCGATTTTACAAGTTTTACTTATAGATACAATATTTAAAATATTACAAAATAAAAATATTTCGAATAATCGATACAAATTACAAATAATTAGTTTGACAAACAATAGTTAGGTACTGAATGTATTTACCTATATTTTTTTAATAGAACCATTAACATATTTACCTATGTTGTTTCAAATCAAAAACAAAATAATGTTATTGTTAATGTTTGAACACTATTTATCATACAATCATTTTTTTAATGTTAGCTATTCCTAAATCTAGTGTTTATTTATAATTAAATATTAACAATGTGGTAATTACATTAATTAGCTTTTAAAAAACATTTAATAAATCAATTTCATGTGATTATGTGAGTACCTAATGGCTAATATTGAAGTCTGGGATGTTTTTTCCTAGAATCGGGGATTTTTATTTCGCAATTCACTGGCTATAATAGGTACCTATTGTATAGTATTATTATAGTTCTGTGCATTTATTGCAATATTATGTATAATACCGAATTAATTATCGTACCAATATACGGACATAAATCGTTAACTTGCGATGTAGTCTATACTCTGTAGATAAAGAAAAATAGAAATTGATTACTCTATGTTTATGTGTAAATTCAATACACTTTTTTTGGTGGGGTGGCAAAGCCCCTCGCGGTAACTAAAAGCTTAATATAAAATGTGTAGTACGAAAATAATTATATTTTAGCCTCTGTATATCTGTGGCTACACATATTTTAAAAGGGGTTTAATAAACATATTTATTTTTTCAGTTATAATTAAGAATTAAATTATATACATAAATGTAAAATGTTCATTGTATTGGTATATTAAAATATAATATAATATATTATAATAATCTTTTGTTATTGTACATTTTTTTTTCTTTTATGAAATAGACTATTTATTATACTATTCTGTATTCATGATGCATTTTTAATGAAAATGTATGTTTATACAATTTTATTTTATATTACCCATAATATATAACTAATTTATTAATATTATACGTTATTTTGTGAATTAAAGTGTGTTTAGATGGAATTTACTTAAATTTGGGAAAAAACACGACTACCTGTATTCGGGCCGCCATCAGTCATCTTCGAATACACCAATTTGAAACAAGGTTTTAGATAAGTATTTATCAAGTATTTATATACTCACTCTTGCTGTAACCAAAATATATGAATACAATAAAGTTTTTTATTACAAACGTCATTTTAATTTCTAATTTGAAAGGAATTAGATATTTTAAAGAAGAATAACAATAAAATTGACAATTTTAGTTATTTTGTTGTAATTTAAAAAAATAAAAAAAACACACATCATTGTTAAATCTTAAATCAATACATTTATCGTTTCACTCAGAATCTAAAATTAAAATTATATTATTGTACAAAATATTACATATATATATTAATAAAAAATTATAAATTCTTATTGGTATAAATATCTTATTAAGAGTTAAAATATTTTGTTAATTTTATGGTTAATAAAAAATGTTAATATAAGCATATTTTTACATAAAATTCCTGTTTTCCCGATGCTTTTGAAAAATGAAAACTACAGTAAATTTTCAACGTTGGTCTATCAAAAGTAAGTACTAACTATATTCAATTTCTCACCATAAAAGACATTGAAGTTGAAGATCTATTTTTACAATTTTCCGAAAACTTCCGGGATTTTCGGAAATATAGGTACTATGTATCAATTTAATATTCTTCAATTTTCCCACATTTCCTGACATTTGATCCCTAACTTATTTTAGCCAAATGTATATTTATTAAATCGATAGGTTTATACTATATATGCATAAATCCACCTAGATAGGCACCTATAATAGTTTAATACTATATATGTATTTATAATTATAAAGTTATATCTAAATAAATATCCCCATTTTTTTTTAAACTTTATTATTGACTAATAATATCGAATTTAATAATACAATACAGTGGACGCCGCTTACAAGCCTCACAAATATAAGGTTCAGTGGCTTAACCCTTTCAGGACAGCACCTTAATAACGTTGAAAAAGTAACAATTTTTTTGCCAATTTCAAAATTTTTCCTATTTCTAAGATAGTATTTGAAAAAAAAAATATTTTTTTTTTATCCTTCATCCTTATTTTATCCTGGGACTTAAAAGTCCCGTCGGTCCTCTATGGTCTGGACTTAAAAGTCCCGTCAGTCATCTAGGTCATTTTTTTTTTACATACAAGCAATGTAAAAATAATTATAAAATTGAGGACTTTAAAAAAAAAAAAGGTGGGTAAGTGGATGTCGCTCTGCTGTACAGTAGGTTACAAGTGGGTCACTGTATAATTGATGCTATTAAATTTGAATTCAATGATACAATATCATTGTATAAGAAAAACGATTCTGAGCGAAGACGGTATGTCAGTCTAGGTTAAGACAAATTATATACATATCTATGGTATTAAAAAAAAATTGACCTATAATAAATTCCAAATTAATCATATCACATTATCACAATATCCATTAGGTACTAATAACACGTTATACACCAACAACAAACCCTGATACTATCATATATATATAATAGTACACTTTAGAAGTTTCAAGTAGGTACCCACGAATAATATTATATAATCACAACAAAATAACTAGGTTTTTTAATATGTAATTTCGTCAAAATTTGAACATAAAATGACTATAAAAATAAACTGTGATTGTATATTTTTTAGATTTTTCGGTAAGAGAATTAACTACTTACGTGAAATCTTGTTTTAAATTTTCAATCCTTAGCTATAAAAACTGAACATTTTATAATTTATTAATTACGATGATTAATAATTTTCGAGATTTTGAAAAATTCTGTCAAAATTCGATGTTAAAATGCTTATAAAAAAAAATTGTGCCTATGTATTTTTAATATTTTTCAACTGATATTGTAACAATATATCAGGAGCCTTGTATTAAATTTTTACACTTTTTGGCCCAACAGATAAAACTTAATTAATATTTATAGAAAAAAAAAACTAAAAAAATTGAAAACTGAAAATGTCCGTAAACGGCTCAAAAAGAGTCAAAATATTTTCAAAATTGTATGGTGTATAGGAAATGCTAATATAAACATTCAGTGAAATTTTCATGTATCTACAGTAATTCGTTTTTTAATTACAACAAAAAAAGGAAATTGCCACATGAGAAATCGAGTGAATATCCAATGTTGTAAAAATTTGAATTTCAAACGCTCATAAAAATTTAATTTGACTTTCCGGTAGAGATTTTTTTATTGATAAAGGTAGACAATCTTATGAGTAATCTTGTATTAGATTTTCAAATCTTAGATTTAAAAAGAAAAATTTTTACGAATTCTTAACTCAAAATAATTTGCTAATTTTCGTGATTTTTCCATATTTTGTCAATTTTTAACTTTAAATGCTTATAAAAAAAAATTGTGACTAAGGATTTTTAATATTTTTCATCTGCCCTTGAAACAAAATATTAGGAGCCTTCTATTAAATTTTCAAGCTTTCGCAACCAACAAATAAAATTTTATTGATATTTCTAGAAAAAAAACTAAAAAAAAACTAAAAATGAAAATGTCCCTAAACTGTTCAAAATAAATCAAAATATTTTGAAAATGTTATCGTGTATAGAAGATGCAAATATAAACAACCAGTGAAAATTGCATGTACCTACGGTCATTTGTTTTAAAGTTACACCAAAAACCAAATTCAATTTTCTGAAAAATCGATTTTGCGTAAAAATTCCCGTTTTTCCTTAATTTTTCTTTTGTTTTTCCCGGCGCTCTTGAAAACTACTGGGAAATTTAAATTTTGACCTCCCCAATGCACCAACGATATTCACTTTCCAATCGAACAAGATACTGAAGTCGAAAATCGAAGCATTATTTCGACTACTTATCGTGTACACAGACACAAAAAAAATAAAAAATAAAATAAAAAAAAAAATAAAAAAAAAATAAAAAAAAAAATAAAAAAAAAAACACACATCATTGTAAAATCAATACATTCATCGTTTCACTCAGAATCTAAAATGTAAAAAAAAATGAAACAATTACAATTTAAAAATAATGAGTACACAAATACAAAGGTAAGATATTTATTTAAATTTCATGATATTCATTAAAACAGTTTTTTTCTCATTTATACACAGGTGTATGTTACAATGCATGCACTTTGAATATGGTCTAGACTCTATTTGTTACCTCACATCTTCTTCGTTCTTTTACAAAAGTTGGCCAGTGTATTCCTCTGTTACCAGTGCGCACATCTTGTGGTAATGAAAATTGATTTTTTCTCCTTTTAACATTAATCCTTTTAACACCTAGACTAAAAGTCGTCTGGAACGGTCCTGACGTATCCAAATACATTATAAAAAATTCGGTTATAAGACTCACCAATTCGTTTATAGGACTCAAATTTTGTAAAAAAAATAGTAGAAAATGAAAATCTTTGGATGAAATTTTGAAATAAATTGGTCTTTAATAATTACATATTTTTGTAGATTATTACTGGTTTTGTTTCATGCTTAATAATGTGTGTACCTACCTATATACAACAAATCATTATCGCATTTCAAATTTATCGTAATTACTGTATAAGTTATAAGTACACTCCCGATTACTCGGCATAGGTATTACAAATTTTATTCATAAATAATAAGTACTTAAATACATAATTTAATTTAATTTAACTTAAAAATTAAGGAAAAGCCGGAATTTTTACGGAAAATCTGTTTTCGAGAAATTCGACTTTGGTTTTTCATGCAACTCTTAAACAAATGACCTTAGGTACATGACATTTTGACTGAATGTTTATATTAGCATTTTCTATACACCATAACATTTTCCAAATATTTTGACTCTTTTTGAGCTGTTTACGGACATTTATAGCTAAGGATTGAAAATTTAAAACAAGATTCCACATAAATTTTATATATAAATTACTTTATTCACCTTAATATCATCAAATTTAGTATATACTTCGTAATATCAGAGGCTGCAGACTGACCGCGCGTTTTCGCTCAGAATCGTTTTTCTTATACAATGATATTATATCATTGAATTCAAATTTAACACCATCCATTACAGTGACCCACTTGTAACCTACTGTACAGCAGAGCGACTTCTTAATCATATTTTTTTCGTTTAGTCACTAATAAATAATAACTAATATATAATATGTATGTATTTAAGTAGATTAAAATAAAACAAAAGGTGCTCTGCTGTACAGTAGGTTACAGTATAGTACAAGTGGGTTACTTTATATAATGGATAGTATTAAATTTGAATTCAATGATATAATATCATTGTATAAGAAAAACGATTCTGAGCGAAAACGGTCAGTCAGCATATGATATTACGAAGTATAGATATACTAAATTTGATGATATTAAGGTAAATAAAGTAATTTATATATAAAATTTACGTGGAATCTTGTTTTAAATTTTCAATCCTTAGCTATAAAAGTTGAACATTTTATAAATTTTTAACTAGGTAAAAATGACCTATTATAGGTACCTATATACCTTGTACCTATAATAAATTCCAAATTAATCATATCACAATATCCATTAGGTATTTATAACGCGTTATACATAAACAACAAACCCTGATACTATCATAGATATAAAATAGTGTACTTTAGAAATTTCATTTTGGCCCAACGGCCAACCGATAAAACTTTATTGATATTTATAGAAAAAAAAACTAAAATAATTTAAAACTGAAAATGTCCGTAAACAGCTCACAAAGAGTCAAAATATTTTCAAAATTGTATGGTTTACAGGAAATGCTAATTTAAACATTCAGTGAAATTTTCATGTATTTTCGTTTTTGAATTACAACAAAATAAAGAAATCGCTACATGAGAAATCGAGTGAATATCCAATATTGTAAAATTTGAATTTCAAACGCTCATAAAAATTTAATTCGACTTTCTTATAGACATTTATTTCTTGATAAAGGTAGATAATCTTATAAGGCATCTTGTATCAGATTTTAAAATCTTAGATTTAAAAACAAAAATTTTTACGAATTCTTAACTCAAAATAATTTGCTAATTTTCGTGATTTTTCCATATTTTGTCAATTTTTGGACTTTAAATGCTTATAAAAAAAAACCTTGACTAAGGATTTTTAATATTTTTCATCTGCCTTTGAAACAATATTAAATTTTCAAGCTTTTTTAACCAACTAATAAATTTTTATTGATATTCATAAATAAAAAAACTAATAAAATTGGAAACTGAAAATGTCCTAAACAGTTCAAAATAAATCAAAATATTTTTAAAATGTTATCGTGTATATAAAATGCAAATATAAACAACCAGTGAAAATTTAACTTATCTACCTTCATTTGTTTTAAAGTTACACCAAAAACCAAAATCGATTTTCTCGAAAACAGATTTTGCGTAAAAATTCCCAGTTTTTCCTTAATTTTCTTTTGTTTTCACGAAGCTTTTGAAAATACTAAGAAATAATTACTTTTGACCCCCAAAAATACCAACTAGATTCACTTTCCTATCAGAAAAGATACTGATGAAGAAAATCCAAGCATTTTTAAGGTCCTAAAAGGTGATGACAGACAAAAAAAAAAAAAATTTAAAAATTAAAAAAAAAACACACATCATTAATAAATACATTCATCGTTCCACTCAGAATCTAAAATATGTCGGAAAAAAACTTCATAAATATTTTGTTTTTTTCTAACTTCGCCTATAAGATTCATTCGGTTATAAGACTCACTTTTTGCTGTTCATAAAGTGAGTCTTATAAGCGGCGTCCACTGTATTTTGTATTATTTAATATGTAATTATTTTTTTTAAACAAAATATAAATTATATTATAAACATTTTTTTTCCATAAATATTATAGATTTTAAATGTATATGTTCGTTCACTGAACTACTTAAAACAATAAAAATTTTAAACAAATTAGCATTAAATAAAATATAATTAATAATTAATAAAAATGGCTAAAAATTCCGACATAAAACTAATACATTTTGTAAAAAAATATTTGATTACTAATTCTTTTGTTATTTTTAAACCCATATTTTGTAGCCTTTCTTCATATTTATTTTTTCTTGTTAAGACTACCAGTTTGGATATTTAACAATTTAATTATTGCTTTTGAATTTGATTCAAGTAGTTCAGTTGATCAAAAATATACATCTATAATTTATTATAATATTTATGAAAATTTTTGAAAATATTTGATAATAGGCAAAAAAAAATTTCATAATTTAATAGAAGGGTTAAATACCTGCATCAAAAATATACCGGGGGAAATGTCCTACTACACCGAAAACAGTCGTGGGAGGGGGGTGCAATGTCCATAACTGCATCCGACACTGCATTAACACTTTAATACAAACATCTGAAAAATAAATATTAAATGTTGAGCCGGTAAATTTGGTACTACCTATATAGGTACTTTGAAATTTGAGTTACTAGTTAGAAATGTGTGATCATGTCCCCCCCGTCAATTTTTTATAGCATCGTACTGTACTGGAGCTCTTTTTGGCAACAATACATATTTTACAACAGTAAGAGGTTAAAGTTGATTTCGAAATCTTCCATTCGAGACTCGAATTTGAGTAGGTATATGTGCAAGAGGAAAATTTAAATGTTTGAACTCCGTAGTTCGAACCTGTGACGAGTGACGACAGTTAGGCATTTTGGAGGCTTAAATAAAATTACGGTTGCTGGAGGTGCGATTGACGAGCCCCCAGGGGGTACCAACATAATTATTGTATCTTGGCGTAGACGGTGTTTATATACGTTTTCTTCTACCTAGCTACGCAATCAGCGTTCCTGGACGAATGTAAACAGAACCTTTTGATTATCGGATTGTCCGAATAAAATATTACAATGTTAGCACGCTTTAGTTACGATATTCATGACAATTAATTATTAAAGGAATGGATAAATATTTTGGAACATGAATTAATATTGTTACACGATTAGGTACTTAAAACACAATGAATATTCTCAGTGCATTTACTCTTTAGTACCTACGTAAATCTATGATATTTTTATTAATTTTGATTTTGTTTTGAACTGAATCGACAATTTGGTTATTTTTCTCGGAAACGGTTTGACTTCCATCCATATTAGAATAAACGAACCCAGAGTTTTGTTTTACCTACGTTTACAATACCTTCAAAAGATGTCGCATCGAGATTATTGTCATCGTCGTGTCTTAGTCAAAGGGTAAATATATGAAACTCCAATCGAAATCTTTCTAGAGTGATTTGAATAGTTTAGGAGACATACTACACAGGTACCTACAATAAAAAAAAAGTTTGTATTTTCTGGCACTTGTCTCGTCATTTGCTCGGTTAATACATTTTTTATAATTGTATCAATGAAATTGTAAAAGTATTGATAATTTTAATCTTTTGTTTTTTGTAACTAGGTACCTACTGTGGTATGGATCCGGAATTATTAACCAATTTATGATTGAGTAACATTATCTTTTTTCCCTGTTGTAATTTTAACATAATATTAAAGTGTGTGAACACGTTGATTGTCATGTGACTGTCGGTAGTCATCTGTAATTCTCAAATTTTCTACTTTTGCGACCTCTGGCTCCCACAGTTTATCACTACTACCATGCCACAGGACTGCCGACGACTGTAAATTAATATTATTTTATTTTATTAACTTTTCCATGGCGCTACAATAATATACTTAAAAGAGCGTAATGACATAGTGGGAATCATTACAATTTGTTTGATGTATGCAAATACAACAGTGTATACAAATTTGGAATACATATGAAAAATATGCTTAGCATGTTGATAATATATTTAGTGTAACATGGCGGTCAATGTGTTCAAAATTGTTTGTGTTTATTTAGGTACCTCATTTATTTGAAAACCGTTTTTGTGTGTGTACTTATATTATTTATTTATTTTTTAGGCACACAAAAATGAATGCTAACATGCTCACAGGTATGGAATTAATTTTCTTAGAATAACCAATGCATTATAAACAAAGTTATTTTTTTTTAGAACTTTGTGAGATCATACATGGCCTGGGTGAAAGAATACCACGCAGAGATACAGTTGAGATAATCTACTCAGTAATAATAAAACAAATGGTTTTGTTGATTTCCCAAATTCAAAAAGCTGCAATTTTACTTAATAACCAGAATATATCGATCAAACATGTACTATATGTTTTGAAAAATTATAGGGTCACCCTTATTCGAATTCTATCATACTATTGTAAGAACTAAAAAGTACAAGTATAAATATATATATAATATACTTAAACAAAACATAAACAAAGAAATGAATGTTATACAACTAAATAATTTATAATGTTTAGCTAATTTACTGATATATATTATATTAATTTTATAGGGTTAAAAGATTCTATCCAACAACTCAATAAATTAAGTAATACTGATGAAAATAAGGAAAAAAAGGGAAAAAATAAGAAATCTAAACTAGAGTTGATTGATAAAGATATTGTTGAAAATATAACAAATGAAGAAGATGTATCTATAAAAATAGACGGTATTATTTAATTTATATTTTATAGAATACAGTGGAACCTCGATTATCCGGTTAATTGGGGGGGGGGGGGGTCACAAGGATAAATGAAAACCACGGTTAATCGAGACTTTTTATAATAATAACATTTTTTATTTAATTATAATTAGAAATACATAGGAACAATTTTATAATAATGACATTTTGCTTTAATTATTATTATAAATACATATTATAATTCATACATACAATTTTATAATAAAGCAATTTTTGAAATTTTGTATTTAATTATAATATTATAGTAATTATATTATAATGTTATACATCCACAATATTGTATACATCAAGTTATCAGGGCTTAAAATATCAAGTTATCAGTCTTTGTATTTTTGGTTTGAAATAATTTTCCTTGCTTCACTTAAATTTTTGGAAGAGTGAGCACGGTTAATCGTGAACATGGATAATCGAGGTTCTACGGTAGTTTCATAAATAAACAAATAAAAAATATGTAATTGAATTTACAAAGTTTGATAAATTGTTAGTAGATACATTTATAGTGTTTGTATTTATTGCAAATTAAGACATAAATATAATTTTATGTATGTTGAATCTTAAGTAGAAGTAATAAATAAAATAGAAATTTTTATCATGTGATGTTTTTTAGATCCTGCTACTGTCTTGGCTGAAATGGATTTTACAAAAAAAGAAATGCCACATGGCAACACCAAAATCTTAAGTATTTTTAAGAAACTTAGAAATGCAATTGTGGAGTTGAAATTAAAAATAAAAATAACTGAAGAAGAAGTAAGAAAATCTAACGAATCACGTATGATTAGAGCTAATGATGTATCAATTATACTATCAGCTAAGTATGACAATTGTTTGTTACTGTTTAAAGTATGATGATTTTATTCATATATATTTATTGTTTTTAGTGCATATGAAGGTTTTGAGGTATGCAGAAGAAAAAATTTTTACAAAACCAAAATAGGTGATCAACTATTGTTACAAGTACACAAAGCTCTTCCATTTGATATTACATACAATAAACAAGTTAAAGAAGTTCTTCTCTTCTTAGCTAAAGTAAAGTTTCAATTAAAAATACTGATTATTTCTATTAGTTTAAAGATTAAAATACATTTTAAACATTAACAGGAAACGATAAGTTTTGTTATTGATCGTGTGTTTGAAAATAGAAAATGTACAGACAGCTGTGATGAAAATAATGCAAGAACTATTAAGGTAAAATTGATTTTATATGATTATTAAAGTTATTTTTAATGAATTTTTGTATTTAGAAAATAAAATATGGATCTATACTTGTTGATGAAATAGCATCCGTTATAAAATGTACATGGAAAACTCCTTTTGAAGAAATCCGTTACCCATTTGATGAAGAAGATACGTTTTTTAATAATCAATTGATTTTTGAATAATTATAAACGTCGTATATGTGATAAGTAAATATAATTAAATAATAGTATGTCTTAGGAATATAATTTGTTTAGCTTGTAAAAGATGATAGGTATTTTAAAAAGAAATATTTTTTTTACTAAAATTGTATTGAATTTACATTTACAATATTTTTATTATATTGATAATAATAATAATTTTTACACGACTAATAGTGAGATATAGTATTAAAAACTAATAGGTTCTTTTGTGATATACATTTACCATGCTTTAAAATCAGTTTTTGATTATTAAAATTTGAATGTTAAATAGTAATTGTATTAATATTTTTGACATCTTATTCTGTATTTATACATTATTAGTTAATCATATAATTGTATAGATTACGAATTAACTAAATAACTTAAATTGAAGTTATTACCTATGTATTCAAAAATTCATATTTCATGTTGTAGATGAAAACTGTCTATTGGTTCTATTAACAAAGAAAGATAAATATTTTTAGTCGTGAAGTTTGGTACTTCATTTATACCATTCATATTCATAATATTTAGCAGATAGGTATATATTTGTATTTTCAATTAAAAAAAATAGTAGAACTCAAAACATCTTAAATCTGAAACATACTGAATAACATAATTTTATTGTGCGATCAATTTACTAACTATGTATTGTTTTTAATTGGTTAATGTTATTTTATAAGTACCTAAATGTAAGAACGACTGATTTAATTAAACTTTTATCTACATTGCATTTATGTATAATATGTGAAGTTTAGGTATACAAACCTAGATGTTGCCCTTGTATATGCGTAAACATGTTTATGTGATAATAACAATTCCTGTAGGTTGTGTGTTGTATGTATCAAATTTGGATGTCAAATACATTGATACAACAAATAAAAATGTTCTGATAAAACATCTAAAGATACACATTAATTACACATATTAATATAAATTATAATTTTGTAAGGTTATACTTATACACTTTTTATCATTATTCTTCTTGTATTCATGATTTATATAGATGTAATTTTAAAAAATGTAACAGTTTAATTTGGAAGCCTCATAAATTACATTGTTCATTATTGATTATGGTGTATAGTGTTTTTTTTGTTCTTCACTTGACAATATAACATTTCCCACAATGTTAATCATTAATAATCTATTTACAATTTAAACATTTTTCTTGGGATTTTAAAATGCATATCTTTAAACTTTGGATGGATCCAAAAATGAGCAGACAGCTCATGCTCCAATTCTTCCAAAAGGGTTATTTTCAAGCATACTGAAATAGCTTCATTAATCTTATTTGCTTTATTACTTAGTTTCTAATACCTGATATTATTAGGATAACTTTATTGAACATAACACATTTTTCTGAAAAAAATTTCCCTGTCGGTATTTTAAACGGTTGAACAAAGAATAAATATTTTGTAGTCATCGTGAATATTTTTTATATTAGCTCCATTATCTGTTACAAGGGTGATTGTCTTTTTCCAATCCCAAATTTTCTAGATTTCTACTAAAATTCTTCCTATATACTCTGTGGCATGACTTTCATTTAATTCCACTGTACCAATAATTCCTATAAATCAATACAATTAAGTACTTAAGTTACATACACGTATTAACTAAAATTTGTCTGAATTAAAAAGGAAGTTTTGGATTTGTAGTACAATTTATCTAACAAATAGGCTAGAAGTTGATAGCTTTTTACTATTAACTTTATTATTTACCTTTAACTATTTACATTGATCTTTGTAAAATAAACTAACAATTGTGCTTTTAAAATACCTTTAGACATTTTAATTATTTAAATATCAAGACAACAATTTATAAATTGTTAAATGAGATGCTAAACTGACAATGGTAAATACTAATTACCAGTAGTCACAATTGTAAAATTTTGTAAGGCACAAGCGGTAGTTTATTCTTTTACTTAAGAGGACGTGATACCCGCATGTGTTGTACAATTTACAACTTTAAAATACTCATAACTCGCTTTAAAATTAAAATATATATAAAACCCCATGACGTTACCTAATAATAATCTTACCTTTAGATTTAATAAGAGGTCATTTCAATCTAATTTTTAAATTAACGGAGCTACACGTGTTCTGCTGAGCGTAAAATTTGCTATGTTACGCACTTGTAAAACAGAGGCAACACATGCAGGTATCGCGTCCTCTTAAGGTAAACATGGATGTAATATTGTTACTAAAACATTAAATTAGATTAATTCAGATGTTAAAAACTGTATTAGAAGCTCTACACATGACTCAAGTAATATGCTGGGGCAATAAAATATTATATTAATCAATACTATATTAAGTTTTTGGATTCTGAACAGTGATGAATGTACTGATTTTACAATGCTTTATTTTTATTTTTTAGATTCTGAACGGAGTTGAGTGATGAATGTATTGTTTTACAATGATGTGTGTTTTTTTCTTTATGTCTGTCATCACCTTTTGAAGCAGTAATGCCTAGTACTTTAATTTTTGACTTCAGTAACTTTTGTAAAAGGAACTTGTTGGTACTTTGCGGGGTGTGAAAATTAAAAATTTCCAAGAATTTTCAAAAGCGTCTAAAAAAGTAAAGGAAAAACAGTAATTTTAACGCAAAACCCGTTTTCAACAAAATCAATTTTTTTTAATTTGCTGTAACCAAGGCCGGCGTTATACAAATTTGACGGGAGGGGGGGGGGGGTGAGATCAAGAATTTGCCGGCTGAAATTTAATTTATGCCTACCTCATAATTTCTTTAAAACATCAACAATCACTTCTGCAACTGTATCCAGGGCCGACACAAGAAAAATCTGACGGGAGGGGAGGGTAAAAAATTTAAAACCGGAGTAATAACAACGAATGTAATTTTAAAATAATTTTTTTATGTAAATTAAATACAACTATTTGATATTATACATGGTTAGTCTAAAATTAAATGCAATATATATTAAGATATATGTATATTATTATTTATCCTTATATTTATCAATTAGGTTTAGGTACCTATAGGAATATGATTTTAATTAAAATATTAGTAAAGCTAAAAAGTAAATAATTAAATTAATAACTCCACCAGGCACCAAGTTTTTATATTCTATACAATATTATAAAAATTTAAAACAATAACAATTTTTTTACAATAATTGTGGATTATACATTTATTCGTCGTTCTTTAAGGGTTGCCCAACTTTCTATCATTGTTGTCATGTCTATCTCATCATTCTCATCCAGAATATCCTTGGATGAGTTCAATACCATAAGATTGTCTAATCGCTTGTCAGTCATTGTTGTTCGCAATTGATTTTTTACAAACTTAAGAATACTGAATACTCCTTCATTGGTCGCTGTAGAGACGGGTGATGTATATGCTTAGCAATATAAAGCATTAGCTGATGGTATAACAGTTTCCAACTTATTACTTGATTCCATAATTTACTTTAACGTGTTATTAGAATCATTATCTGTTTTAAGCAGGGCTTGAAACCGGTAACCGATTTTTCCCGGTAACCGGTTACCATGAGTACTTTTTGGACTGGTATCCGCTTCCCGGTTCTCGAGTTTCAATTTTGAGAAGCGGTTATCAATTACCGGTAATCACGGAATTTGATAAAGGGGGAAATCTATAACGGTAACCGTTTATTTTTAGAACCGGTTAATTAATCGGAAGTATACAAAACCGTAAATCTCAAACCAATTAACTTAAAAATAATTTTTTTTTAATTTTATTGAATATTCTAAATAGAAGAAAATAATATTTATAAAATACTAAAATAGATTATTTTAGAACTACTATGTATTAAAATTTAAAAATACCAAAACAAGCGTGTTTGATTGCGGAATCGTATCGGCGCACTAACAAAAGATTCTCAGTAGTCAGTACCTATGATATAGGTACTGAATACTGATACGAATGGTAGAAACATCGACGAATGCGGGCTGATACATATATATATAATAGTATATAACTCTTGCATGTACGATATTGTACCAAGTACTAGGTAATAGGTAGGTTATATAACTTATAATCAGGGACTGTTTTGATATTCATTATTTAATAATAAGTTCGTTACATTAGTTCGTAATAATAGTAATACTGAACAAAACTGTGTAGTACTATACTAAACATGTTAAGATTGATGAAAAAAAATAGAGTAGGTATTAAAAAAAAAAAAAAAAAAAAAAAACGGTTTTGTGAGGTAACCGGTAATTTTGAAGATTTAAAACCGCTTCCAAATAGATAACCGGTAATCCCATTTATAAAATTTATTTCGGTAAGCGGGAAATGATTTTCATTATTTCTAAAAACCTCGATAACCGGTAACCGGTTCCAAAAAATTTTCCGGGTCCTATCGGACCCGGTATCCTATTTCTTCAGGAGCGGTTTCAAGCCCTGGTTTTAAGTCTTAATACAGCGGTTCCCAAACTTTTTTAGCTCACGGCGCCCCCGAAAAGACATCGCGGCGCACAGTTTGGGAACTGCTGTCTTAATATATTTATTTCACACAGAATTCCATCAAAATCAGTTACCTTAGAAAAATCTGAACCTAGAGGAAATAAAGAAAAAGCTTTCTTTATATCTTCTAATGTAATGGTTGATTTTAATGGAACTGATAAAATATGGTAGATAGGTTGGACCGAAGAAAGGCAGGACTTCAAATTTTCTGTCATCAAATATATAAATGTATCTAAAACTTGCCCAAATTCTTTTCGATAAAATGATTTTAATGTGAAATCAGCTTGAGTATTGGAATTGGAATCAATTTTCTTAGGATTCAACCGTTTCCTATGATGTCTCTGAAAATCAACAATTGAGTCCACTTCCATTTTCAATGAAAATACTTTGGCACTTGATAAAAAGTTTATTTAATTGGTCTGTATAATTTCGGATTTCTTCTAATGATCTTACTGCACACTCTATTAACACAATACCATCAACGATATTGAGATCTGAAGCCTCCAATTGTTCTGTTAGTGTTTTCATTTGATACATTATGGTTTTCATTGTATACATACTAACAATGAAGTCAAATGACAGACACTTTTTTTCTAATCTTAGAGCTTGAATTTTAGTTTTTTGGTCTATGGTTTTATCTGTTGTCAGATCATTTAGAACACTAATAATTATATCATGAAGTGTAAACTGCTTTAAGGGAAACTGCTCTGTGCAGTCCATCTGGTCTTTGATAAATTGCGAAGTTTTAATGATCCTTCAATCTCAAGCAACTTTTTTTGTAGATATCCACCTCTCTTAGTGCTTGAAGAAAAAAATACATATAAGGACTCTAATGTGTTAAATAATTCAGCAACAATAATACTGGCATCACAACTGTGTTCCACAAATGTGTTTAAACGGTGTGCTTGGCATGGAATGTATGGTTTATTATGACCAACTATTTTAGAAAGCATTGCTTGAGTTCCTTGTAAATGATCTGACATATTAGAAGCAAAGTCATACGATTGAAAAGCTATACTTTCAAGATGTAATCAATTTTTTATTATTATTTCACAAATTTTATTTGCCATACCTAAAAAAGAAATATCAAAAAAATTTCATTAATTCAACTAGTCTATATTCTAAATCATAAAATTGTTTTTTAAAAATACCCGCATAATGACAGTTTATTATGAAAAAAATATTATTACCTTTTCCAGTTTTATCTTGAATTTCTGTTATTTTAATTAATCATTCCCACACTTTTGAATTTGTATCTACATATTGAACACACACAGACATTTGGTCATGATTTGAAAGATCAGGCGTGGTGTCTGCCATAACAGAATACATTTTGGCTGTCTTTACTCCTGATACAATATTTTTTTTTGTTTCATTTGCTCGTAGATGAATAAATTCATTTTGTGAATCGTGACTCATACAAGTTACATGATATGGACGAAATGCAGTTTCTTCTAACCAAGTTTTTATAGTTGGGCAGTGACGTGAGAGAAGTAATATTATTTGCTTAAAGTAACCATTATTTTCATCCCCGTCTCCTCGGAATGATAAACCTTGTCGTGCTAATGTGCGTGTTACATCCAATAATATTTTAATGACATCTTTATGAAATTATTTTTGTGCACTTATTTGTATAGCAGCTTGTCTGTTTTCTTTATTTAGCAGTTTATCAATATGATTGCAATTTAAAGTGAAGTAACTAAAATCAACTAAAGCTGATTTATGCGCATTAGATGAGAAATGTAACTCTAATTTTCCTGGTTTCCCTTTACCCCTTGACTTCATTTTCGACCAATTTCTAACCCCAACCACTGTCCAACTATTTTCAGCACGTGCTCTGTTTGGTCTATTTGGAAATAATGAACAAATAAAACAGAATGCCTCGTTTACCAGGGTCATGGTCTAATAATTTAACAATTACTTTTTCATTTGTTGAAAATAATTTATTTGAAGTAAATTCTTTAGATAAAACATTAGAAGCAGATTGTATATACATAGTTGACTTTTCTTTAACAGAAGAAATCAATTCAATACTCGTCGTTAAAAAATGAATGGGATTTGGAATATCATCATCATGCACTTTTTTAAGAAGCATTTTACATTCTTTTATAATTTGTACTAAAGATGAAAGTTTACCTACACAATCAATCCAAGATTCAGTGTTATCACTTTGATTATTAATATCTTTAGTATCAAGATCATTTTAATTTTTTTTACTGCTTAAAACGGCACAATCATCCTGTAAATTCAACAAAATTAAAAATTATAATTTAACTGTCTTCTTCGAAACCTAGTTACTTAAGTGTTTTAAAATATGTTATTTTCCTAATTTATAATAACATTTTATAAAATGTATTAAAAAAAATTATGTTTTATACCAATTATTTTGTTTGGGTATTGTAAGAATTTTACCATAATATTAATTGATCGATACTATGATCTATGTAATGTAAATTTAAATTTTGTTTTAATATTGATTATTGATATACATTTTTAATTATTGTAATATATCTATAAATGTAATTTTTCTGTTTAGTTAGGCTGATAATACAAGTAACATTATTAATAATGAATATACTGAATTTCAAAGTTGCAAACATTATAAAATTTGACCTATATATATATACTTTCTTTTAACTAACACTAGTTGTCTAGCTATATGTATTATTAACTAAAAAATAAAAATAACTTACTTCTAATGCTCCCAAAAGATATTATATAGTTTCACTAAGACAGTTTTCTTCTTCTGAAGTAGGTTGTAAGTAAGTTGTGCAAGTTGTGGTATTTTTGGTTACCTATTAATAAATTAAACATAAATCTACTTAATGTACTAAGAAATAATAGATATAAATTGAAAATATATACATTCATAAAAAATAACAATCTACATTATGATAAAAAAAAATCAATAATTAATATAAAATAAAATATTATTAATATTAATATAATAAAAATACCATAAATAAACTACAATATATATTACTTAATTAAATACATTTTATTTTAAACTAACTTACAGTTGGTGAATATGCTTTATGTAAGTATTTTGAAGCTTCAAATGGATTTTCTGGTGTACCGGTATGCTTAACTGAAACTCGTTTTCCATTATGTAGCTGACGTTCATGTTTAGCACGATAATCTTTATTAAATACACCACCACACTTAAGGCACTCAAGTTTTATTCTTTTCCTTTTATTTTCCATCAGGCACGTATACAGGGGGGGGTTTGGGGTTGAACCCCCCCCCCACGAAATAATTTCTTTAAAAATTAAGTCAAATTTATTATATTCCTATTATTATAAAATATTTTTATAATTAGCTGTTTGTGACTGGTTTTCTCTGTTTATTAGTCGGGTATGAAATACACGTTTATACCTATATTATAGTATTATAGTTGAATGATCGAGGTGATTACTGAGAACTACGCTCGAACACAGAACTGTATAGTTGCGATTTGCGATATACCTAGAAAACTCATACTTTTAGGATAATCTTATCTTATCTTTTTCAGTACCTACTCGATCGAAACAAAAATTTCTATTGAATTATGCATTAAAAAAATTAGAAGAGTGTTCAAATATAGAAACATCACGTACAGCTTTTCAGCTTTCAATTTCCATTAATAACTCAGTTTTTATCATAGCATTACATGTTATTGAGAAGTTTTTTTCTTTAACTTTACCACTATCTATACCACTACAAAAAGTAAATATTGATTTGTCATATTGTTATGAGCGAGTAACAGATGTATGTCAAATATTTAAAGAAATTCGAAAAAAAATCGATGATGAGTTTAAACAAATATTTTCTAATGTAGAAGAGTCTATGTTAGAAGGAATTATTGAGGTACCAAGAACTGTAGGTCGACAAACTGCACGTAACCATATTCCATCTGATTCTCCGGAACAGTATTACAAAAGATCAATATTTTTACCGTTTTTGGATCATTTTAATTGTCAATTACAAGATAGATTTACTAATTATCATCATGTAATGGCCAAACTACAATCACTTATTCCAAATTTTCTTAAAAATACAACTGATATAAAAGATTTTCAAGAGGTAGCGCTTTTTTATGAAGATATTTTACCTAATTATGAAACATTTGACGCAGAAATTAAAATATGGCTAGCTAAATGGAAAAATGTATCTGATAGAGACCGTCCAACTACATCATTGACTACTTTGTCTGCAATGTCTTATGATTTTTTCCCAAACATTCACAGTCTTTTGACAATTATGGCCACATTACCTGTTGGCTGTTACAACTGCTACTGCTGAACGGTCATTCTCAACTCTACGGAGACTTAAAACATACTTACGAAACAATATGGGAGAAACGAGACTTACTGGATTGGCTTTACTAAACATTTACCGAAATGTTGATTTAAATGTAAAAGAAATTATCGATAGATTTGCAATGTTATCACGAAAGTGGGATTTTATACTTTAGTTTGTAGGTATTTTTTTTTTATATAAAATATATAAATTGTTTGATTTTTTTCTTCTATCTATACTTAAAATGTTAATATACCTAGGTAATTGTATGTGCATATAATAATCAAATATATTTCTGTTCTGTTCATAATAGGTACATATTATTTAAAGTTTTATTTATTTTTATTACTATTATTATTCCTAATATTCCTATTTCCTAAATATAGGTACTTACTTCTGAACACTGAACAAATGACATACATAATAAAGTTTGAAAATGTAGCATAATAATTAAAAAGGTGGGTAAGTGGATGTCGCTCTGCTGTACAGTAGGTTACAAGTGGGTCACTGTATAATGGATGCTATTAAATTTGAATTCAATGATACAATATCATTGTATAAGAAAAACGATTCTGAGCGAAGACGGTATGTCAGTCTAGGTTTAAGACAAATTATATACATATCTATGGTATTAAAAAAAAAATTGACCTATAATAAATTCCAAATTAATCATATCACATTATCACAATATCCATTAGGTACTTATAACACGTTATACATCAACATCAATAACAAACCCTGATACTATCATAGATATATAATAGTACACTTTAGAAGTTCAAGTAGGTACCCACGAATAATATTATATAATCACAACAAAATAACTAGGTTTTTTAATATGTAATTTCGGCCAAATTTGAACATAAAATGACTATAAAAATAAACTGTGATTGTATATTTTTTAGATTTTTCGGTAAGAGAATTAACTACTTACGTGGAATCTTGTTTTAAATTTTCAATCCTTACCTATAAAAACTGAACATTTTATAATTTATTAATTACGATAATTAATTATTTTCGAGATTTTGAAAAATTCTGTCAAAATTCGATGTTTAAATGCTTATAAAAAAAAATTGTGCCTATGTATTTTTAATATTTTTCAACTGATATTGTAACAATATATCAGGAGCCTTGTATTAAATTTTTACACTTTTTGGCCCAACAGATAAAACTTAATTGATATTCATAGAAAAAAAAAAATAAAAAAATTGAAAAAGGAAAATATCCGTAAACGGTTCAAAAAGAGTCAAAATATTATCAAAATTGTATGGTGTATAGGAAATGCTAATATAAACATTCAGTGAAATTTTCATGTATCTATAGTTATTCGTTTATGAATAACAACAAAATAAGGAAATCGCTACATGAGAAATCGAGTGAACATCCAATGTTGTAAAAATTTGAATTTCAAACGCTCATAAAAATTTAATTTGACTGTCCGGTAGAGATTTTTTTATTGATAAAGGTAGAAAAACTTATGAGTAATCTTGTATTACATTTTCAAATCTTAGATTTAAAAAGAAAAATTTTTACGAATTCTTAACTCAAAATAATTTGCTAATTTTCGTGATTTTTCCATATTTTGTCAATTTTTGAACTTCAAATGCTTATAAAAAAAAACTGTGACTAACGATTTTTAATATTTTGCATCTGCCTTTGAAACAATATACTAGGAGCCTTCTATTAAATTTTCAAGTTTTTTTAACCAACAAATAAAATTTTATTGATATTTCTAGAAAAAAAACTAAAAAAAAATGAAAAATGAAAATGTTCCTAAACAGTTCAAAATAAATCAAAATATTTTGAAAATGTTATCGTGTATAGAAAATGCAAATATAAAAAACCAGTGAAAATTTCATGTATCGACGGTCATTTGTTTTAAAGTTACACCAAAAACCAAATTCAATTTTCTGAAAAATCGATTTTGCGTAAAAATTCCCGTTTTTCCTTAATTTTTCTTTTGTTTTTCTTGGCGCTTTTGAAAAGTACTGGGAATTTTAAATTTTGACCTCCCCAATGCACCAACGATATTCACTTTCCAATCGAACAAGATACTGAAGTCGAAAATCGAAGCAATATTTCGACTACTTATCGTGTATACAGACACAAAAATAAAAAAAAAGCACACATCATTGTAAAATCAATACATTCATCGTTTCACTCAGAATCTAAAAATTAAAAATAATGAGTAAGTAGGAAGACATTGTTTTATTATGTTGCTGTACAATTTGTGTTGCTATATTTTGTAAACCCCCCCCCTGAAATTTTATTCTGTGTACGTGCCTGTTTTCCATTATAAATTGAATTTAAAAGTGAAAATTATAATAATACTTGTTTTATAATGTGATTATTAATCTATATAATATATATTACTTCAGTACCTAGTACTTATACTCACACGCAGACGACAGAACGTGTATTGTGAAATGATTGGTGGTGTGCAGACGTGCAGTAGACAGTAGTGTAGTACTGTAGTGGATGGATGTACCTACGGGATATGGGAAAATGTTTATCAGTTTGTACTTACAGTTTTTTTTAAAAATAGACATGTTCTATTCGACGGCTATAGTATTTATCTATAGCCGTGGCTATTCTAGATGTACATATTTTATTTATATCAATAATCAATTTGCCATTAGCCAACTGATATCGGAACTATTTATATTTTATAATTGGAATGTTTTTTAAAAGATATTTAATTTTCATTTTTAAATACAACAAATAGGTTATTTTATTAAAAAAATTCCGTATACCGAAAGTGCCGACTTTCATTACGATTATTCGATGGCGGGGTGTCACAACCCCCAATACCCCACTTGCCACCGGCCCTGGCTGTAACTCAAAAACGAATGGTGGTATATTCACCAAATGCTTATATAAGCTATATGTATAAACTGTTAAGTTTTTTTTAAAAATATTTTGACTTTTTTAAGTTATTTATATACAATTGAAATTTTCGAAATTTCTAAAGATTTTTTTTTTTTGAAATAGTCATAAAAAAGGTCAAGAAATCCAAAAAATCGTGAAATTTAATAGGTACAAGGTTTTTATAAGTTGTACCTTATTGCTGTCAAACAAAATCAAAAATCGTTTGTCATAATTTTTTTTTATAATTTTTTAAAGTTAAAATTCTTACGAATTATGTTACAATTGCGAAAATGTACCTACAAGTCATTTTGGAGTTTAAAATTTATAAAATTTTACAACATTATACCGAGGTTAATAAACGCTATACAAGGTTATGTTTTCCTTCAAATAACTATAAAAAAACTCCAGTGTCTTTATAGAATAACATTTTTAGAGCGTTTGAAATTTAAATACAAGTTATTACTTGCCCCATCACGAGGTCCGTGAAGTTAGCGGGATCATGAAGAGCACTAATTCCCGCTATACCGCAAAATTTTAGTGCTCAATTAGTGCTTTACGGACGTACAAAAATTAAAATTAGTGCTTCATCCTACCATCGATTATCCACGATTCTAAAAACCTCCCGCCAACTTCACGCAGCGGGATCATCAAAAGCACTAATTCCCGCTATACCATACATTTTTAGTGCTAAATTAGTGCTTTACGGGCGTACAAAAATTAAAATTAGTGCTCCCTCCAAACCAGACTTATTGCCATCGCTGTTTCAACTTTGCTGGAGCATGAGCATTTATTATGTACATTATTACAAAACAGAGTTCAAAAGAAATGTATATCAATAAATTAAATCATTCCAACATTATGTTACTACTTTTTTTTATTAATTTAAAAAAAATACAATCAACCCTTCCCGGCACAACAAAAAAAAATTTGATCTTTTATAAAATCAATGTATGGTCCTTTTAATTTTAAATCCTTATATAATATACATTTATTCGGTATAGAGTAATAATGCAACCATGACCTGTTTTGATGATCTTACTGGTTTGATTTTTTTATTCATGTCATCATGAACCTAGAACAATAAATTTTACATTTTTTGAATCCAATCCATTTATCATATCTATGCAAGATTTTTGTTAAATATTTGAAATCTGAATGTTGGGCAGTTGATTGTACAACGAATCAAAGGATTAATGATAAGCTTAATATAATAAAATGTGAAAATGGATGTGTGAAGTGCTTTAACAGGACTGAATAAGAAATCAATTAATTTTGGGTAGTGCATACTAAAATCGATTTTGTCGAAAACTTGTTTTGCATAAAAATACCTGAAGAATGGGTTGTGATAGCTGTGTTATTTTATGAGAAGAAACATTTTTTTGTATTGTCCAAAGTAATTGTTGAAGTTAATGATTTTTGTAAGCTAAGTTTTAAAGTATCAATTATTTATTAACTTACTTCCCAATATATATTGCTTCGTTTAGCAAAACCCACATAATGACCAATTGCCCTTGTATTTAAAAGAGGTGGGTAATACCCAATTGTGCCTCTCAGATATAACAGCTTCTCTCCAATGCGTAAAAAATTTGGTATGTCTCCAAGTTGGCAATTTTTAATTTCATTTGGTATTGGACTTTCATTTTCACACGAAATTGCTATGAACAACATGTTGTTGGATATTTTTTCATAAATTATGTTTCCTTTACAATTGTCTTCGGTGCAGTGTTTTTCGTTGGCTTCGAATCGGTCATATTTGTCCGTCAATGTTTGCAATTCACTTATTTTTTCATCTTTAAAATTAAAAAGTAATGATGGGAACGTTATTGTTGCAAATTGTTTTTGACAAGCAGTATTTGAACATTTTCTAATTTGATTCAAAGAAAAAATGCTCAAATCTTTAAGAATTTCAACTATGTTACAATCACAGTTGATTCTTTTCATCTTATTTGGCATTTCTGTTGTATCTTGTATCTTGTTGTAGTTTGTACAATGTACAGTATACCTACACTATATGGTAATAAAAGTGAATAACATTCTACATAGGTAGTGTCGGTAGTGAACATAACAAATGAAGACAAGACAAGACATCTCCAATTAATACAATTTGTCGATGATTAGTAGTGACCTGCAGTGTCAAATTGTCTGTTGAAGTTGTAAAGCACTAATTTAGAACTAAAAATTGACGGTATAGCGGGAATTAGTGCTTTTGATGATCCCGCCAAGTTGAAAAACGGCTATGGTGATAACTCTGGTTTGGAGGGAGCACTAATTTTAATTTTTGTACGTCCGTAAAGCACTAATTGAGTACTAAAATTTGGCGGTATAGCGGGAATTAGTGCTCTTCATGATCCCGCTAACTTCACGGACCTCCCATCACGTCGTGTTGATGGCTGATAGTTTTACCACTAATTTTAATTTTTGTACGTCCGTAAAGCACTAATTGAGTACTAAAATTTGGCGGTATAGCGGGAATTAGTGCTCTTCATGATCCCGCTAACTTCACGGACCTCCCATCACGTCGTGTTGATGGCTGATAGTTTTACCACTAAATTCAGGTTAGGCGTTTCAGCCTATTTTGATTTTTGATGGCTAAAACCAGGGGCGTCAATAGAAAACTTTTTTCGAGGGGTGGTGCCCCCCGGTCATGCGGGGAAAAAAACTGTGGACTATTTGTATAATTTGTTACTTATATTAGTATGAAAAAATCACAATAGTCAATATTGTTACTATTTTTGACGAACTATGTGTAGACGTGTAGGTACTTTTAATGTATTTATTGTAAATTGTGGATACACATTTTTTTATACTTAAAATATATAATAAAGCTAGCTTAATAAAACCAGAAATTTATTTTATGGGTACCCTTCTTCACAATATGTATGTTATAATTGTATTTTTTTTTACACTGAATAAATATAAAATATATATAATATAAAACACTTAGGTATATCGGTGATTATGTTTATTGTAGGCCAAAGAGGTTTTAAAAAAAAGTTGGCGCAAATGTACACCCTGAACCACCTCCCCCCCCAAAAAAAAAGAGACCAGACATGACATAATATATAAAACTGTTAAATATAATAGGTACTTTATTACAGTATAGTACTGTACAACTTCCATAGTAATATGAAAAATATCCAAATACAAAAATATAAATAAAGAATTGTTGCAAAACTGGTTTTGTATATTCTCCTAATAGATTGAAGGGAAAAAATCTTCTTCAATTCTCTTTAGTATGGTTTACTTATATGAGTGAACAGTTTAGAATAACCCATTTAACCATTGCCTTATATTCATCATGAGTGACAGTGAATTTTTTAATAATTTAAATCAACATTAATTAATGCAGAGATAGGTACATGTTTAGATTTTGAAAAGTATCATTGGCCATGCAAACATATATGTGCATTATTCATATATGTACCAGGTTATTCATTTAATGATCTGCCTGAAAAATTAAAAAATAATGTTTACATATCTACCAACCCTAGGTACTCAATAACCAGCCCACAAGAAGAAATAAGTACAATTGATTTAAATATGCAAAATACCACAACTGCTACTACTACAAGATTAATATTAGAAGAACAAAAATGTACAAGGGCTGAAAACATTGATAATAACAGGAATCCACCAATACAAAGTAGAGAAATTCTTAATAGACCAAAGAGAATATTCTTCAGAATGGTTACAACAATTGAAGGTTCTAAATAGTGTTTATGAAAAGATGAGTGGTATGGCAAATAAAGAGGATGGGCGTTTACCTCCTAAACGCAATTCATCAGCATTCTCCATTATTAGACTTGCCAAAAACTACAAAAAAAAAAAAGAATTAACCAACAAGACAAATTAACATGCTAATTAACTATTGACAAACATACTATGTATAGTAATTTTTTTTACAAAATTTTGTTATATGTTTTTATTTTGTATAAATTAATTTGAATTAATAAATAATATGTGAATTGTGAATTAAGATAATAATAATCATAATAATCCGTGGTCCGTGGTGAATATTAATTTTATATGTAGTGCATGTAGTTTCAATTGTGACACGATGTTTGCAGGTGCCAAGGATGTGTTTACATTAAAATTAGGAAATTTTAAGAGGTTTCTATCTGCGTCTTACAACCTTAATTTTCATTTTCATTAATTTTTAATTTTAGAATTGTGAGATTTTATTATATTACTTACAACCGATTCAAAACAACTTCTGCTCGTTGTCTTAATTATTATATTGAAACGTAAAACTAAAAATGTTACAATCATCCCCACAAGTGTATAACATATTTTTGTCTTGACTGAAACACAACATATTTACTCTTCCTGTTTCGTTGTCGTGAATAGTAAATTCAATATAGTCATCGAAATCTAATACATCGTTGATTTTAACATTTGTAAGACGTATTCTACCATCAGCAAATCCCATTAAAATCGTTAATGGATCAGTTCCACTATAAATCATAAAAAATGTGCACATTATAATGTTAATCAAATCAAAAAGGAAAAAAATTTAATGAAGCTTAGCAAATTTTTGTAGGTTCATTTTTGTTTTTTGTTTGTTCATTAATTAAAATTTGTATATTTTATAGTATTTATAAATAGAGGTAGTCTAAAAAAAAAACAATGCATATCGTAAGAAACCCTAGGATATATTAACTTATGTATAAATTACTAAATTACTTACATATACCTAATTATTATATTATGTAAATGTCTCAATATATTTTTAATTCCTAAGTATAATAGACTATAAACGAGAGTTTTAATTTATACATTTACAAGTATAATAATATATTATAATAATTTATTTTTAGTGTCAGCCTATAGTATAATATACTTTGTATAAGCATTGATTATAAATACTATTTGAGGAAGTATAATAATAATAATAATAATAATAATAATAATAATAATAATAATAATAATAATACTGTACTGAGTAACTTACGACATTGCAATCGCAGTTAGTGGAGTATCATTTATATCTGGTAATGTCACGTGTGCATTAGTTACTGGTCTAGAAGTGTTCACATCGTATTCGTACAAATAGCCAGCGTCATATCCATCAATCGATACCCATATACCGTTCTCTGATGGAGTGTAAATGGCGAACACTACGGGGTTCGGTGTCGGAGGAATAAAGATTTTCGGAGGTTCTTCGTCTTCTTCGGAATCTTCAAAATATATGTCTTCGTCGATTTCATCACCGGGATTTTGTTCTTTGAGAAGTTTTAAGGTCTCTTTTTTTCTATTGATTTTATCTCTTTTCTTGTCCATTAAATTAGACAAATATTGTTTTTGACGTATTTCTGACTTGATGCTCACCGTTTTTATTACACGCGATTCAAGTTTCAATAAAAACGATTCTCTGGTGTACGATGGACGACTGGTGGGAATATCCACTTCTACGATATGTCCACTAGCGCAACTTATCAATGCCATCTGTTTCTAAAATCAATAATTGAATCATTGAAAACGATTACATAGGTACCATCACTGATTCACAAATAGACACAAATTTTTACTTCTGAAGGTTTCCAGTGAACAAATGTGACTTTTCCGGGTAATGGAAAAAAACCAATGGGACTCAACTTGATAGGTCCAGTTTTTATTTTATAGACAAATATTGTTTTATCGTCACTTCCAGTTACAAGCGTTTTGGCACTACTGCTTATCGACAAATATATAATGGAACTATTATGAGGTTTTGAAGTCTAAAAAATTAAAAAACCAGATTCTCACACCAATTTTCAATCAATTATTGTTTATATCAGTAACAATTATCTAAATACTTGTATTTCCTCTATTTCAGAATGACTTAATATTTTTTTTTTGTCTATTTTTTTAAGGGTTACGGCAACGAGTCTCAAAATTCCCGTTTGAAATCCAATTACGAAAATATTTCTCGAACAAGCTATCTATAAATAGTTTATTCATTAAACAAATGTGACTTATGAATAATAACTATAGCATAATATTTATAATCGTTATAGCCACGGTTCAAATGGTTATACAGTCGGATTTGATTAACTCAAAGTTGAAAGGAAAGGCTAAAAAGTCCAAGTTATCAAAGGATAAATTACTACAATATATAATAAGGAATTCTAGAGACCAGGACTAAGTTCGAGGTATCGAAGATTTAGAGTTAAAACAGTTCAAGTTAACCCAGTTGGATCGCAATACAAAACTTTGCATACCTTCGATGGCAACCAGATTGACGAAGTTATTGGTACTTTGAAATCGTGGGCAAATGCCAACTTTTTTTTTATGACATTGTGCACGTGAAGCCATCCGTCCAACGACGTTGTTGCGAGGAAATGACCGACGCTCGAGGGTTGCAAAGATGTTATTTTGCCGCCGTGAAACTTTGCCAACCGTCTTAGAGGCTTCGCTTTTGTGGACAATTCGATGTCGGCAAGCCATATTCCTCCATTTCCGTCCTACAGAAACGACGAAAACGAGATAAATGTATATTACATTCAAACCATAAGATTTCGATAAGTATTACGTACAATCACAGTGGATAATATTATATTACAGGTATTATAAGAAAAAATATATTTGGTATTATTATTCATCCATCGCGGACATCGATAGCACATTACAACTGTTATCCTTACTCTATTATGTATAACACCTGTAGCAAATAGATTCTACTGTCGTTTATTACCTGGATAAAATAGTCGTACGATTCAGGGTTGCTGTCGATCTTAGACATGCCCATGATTTTCGAGTCACCGATAGAGTCCTGGATGCTGATCACGTAAGATGGTTCCATTTCCAGCACACGGTCGTTTTCGGGTGGATCAGCCGATTCGACGATACGGTAGTTCCAGAATTTTATCATCCCGTCCATACTGATGCTCGTCAACAGCTCGTCGTGTTTGGAGTATAAAAACATGATGATAGGCGCCGAATGACACGGTTTTCTGAATTTCCTTGTTATCTCGATTTCGATGAATTTCTCTCCCCACACCAAAATATTGCCCCATTCGCAGCCAGATATTACCTGTAGCAAACAGAGCAGACAACTGTGTCAAGCATCAAACATCCATACTCTTTTGACTCCAAGACGTAAGTTTGAGTATGCGTATGGTATCAATACAAAATGCGTAGTTACATAGTATAAATAATAATTCAAATGTTTTAAAAATTTTTTTTGATTTTTCATGATTTCAATGGACATTGATCTATTTTCAATCAACAGCCACGAAAAAACTGTCGAAAATGTATTAATTACATATTTTATTTTAATAAACGAAATTTCTATTTTTTTTCCAATAAATATAAATTAAATAATCAAATTATTTAATTACTTAATAAATTTTAAAAATTTATCAGTTTTGACAAATTTCAAAGTGTGTGGTTTTTGGATTCAACTACCAGCTAATCATGTAAACGAACGTAAGTAATGTAAATAAAGTTTAAAATTCAAATTTCAGAAAAACTTTAAAATTACCAAAAATCTTTAAATGCAAAAAATTACCTTAAAATTTAAAATCGGCAAAAAATGCAAAATCAAAACTCTTACTCTGATTAAATGTACATTAAACGTGCAGTATATTATAAAACGGACATGGCGTAACTAAGATCGGAAATCAATGCATTGAAATCCCTACCACAATCATATTACCTTTGTAGTATAAAATATCACAAAATAAAATTAAAATAAAAATAAATACATTTTTTTAAAGGATTGATTTTTATTACACTGGGTTATGAATGTCAGAACTAAGAACGTTTCTTTTATAGATTTATGACAATATGAAGTGGTGGGACAAACTGCAGTGTCAACAAAGTTTTTATATTTTTAATAAAAAATTAAAAGGCTCATATAGATGGCATACAATAATTTCAATTATTCAAGTTTGTGGTATCATCAATACCTGCGGAATATGCTACAAATATATAATTTTATAAACTACCCAAAGTTATCTAAAATTATCAAATCAATAGTACCTAATATTTTATTTACTAAAAAAATTCATTTGCTAATTTAAAATCACGTGACAGTTAATTAAAATTAATGCTGTAAGATTGAGTTTTAACTAACTATCTGTATAATATAATTCATAAATAATTTTTACATTCCCTCCCTATATAAATATTATGAAAGAAAACATGTCACAAACAATACTTTATCACTAATCGGGATAATTGGATAGGAAATGAAACGAACAAATTTAAATATTTTGCCCCCCTTGACAAAGTCCTGAGGACAAATTGAGTAGGTATCATTGCAATAACCGCGGTTAATGTATGTAGGCACATGATATGACATAACTCATATTACATATTATAATGTATTAATTCCAATAGTTTATTTTATTACAATTATGATTAATATTATATTATGTATACATGATTTTACTTTTTCATCGAGCATCGAAAAAACTCCTATGACGTCTGATATTTCCGTTTTTACGAAGCGTCCGAGCTGACCTAGAAGCTTTAATCCGGTAAACGTTCTGACCATTTTCCAGAATTTCAAGTGTCCCGACCCTGCGGTCACCAAGTGGTTGGGTATAAAGTTTGAAAACCTACAAACGAATACGTCCTGTGTGTGAGACTTGGCCCTCAAGACTATTTTCGATTTTTTCCAATCCCAAATCGTAAGGGTATTATCCGGCGCACCTGCTTGCGAACACAAAAAGTCACCGTTTTCGCTGAAAACAAAAAATTGGTTTGTTTTATATCTATACAAGCGTAGTTGTATACATTTTGGAAAAATCGACGCTGGTTACACCTGTACGACAAGCCACTTATTTTTTGTTTAGCACTGCCTTTGAGAACGCTAACTATTTCAAACGTTGGCCATTCGTACACGATTATCAGAGGATTAGTACATTTTTCTCCAACCGCTATATGGCTCAAAACGGGATTTTTCTTAATGAAAACAATTAATATTAGTCATAGTAATATATCACGACGATTATTCTAAATACACTTACAACTATGTACCCTATTCCTCCGTTACCGGCACATTTTCTAAAACTCAATTTCCTGTCATTGATGTCAAACATATTAATATAACTACCTGCCGCGTACACAACCGTGTGGTTGTCTGCTGCACATATATTGAACATTTTGGAACAACAATCGTAACCGAATGAATGACTATTATTATAGATGTAAGGTTTTTATTATACCAATAAATTGGATCTTCATATTATTATTAGTATTAACCACCCCTACATTTATTACCAATGTGTTATATTATAACTATTGATTTTCGATTATTATATATTTTTATAATACCTATTTTTCGTATTTTATTTTATTGACATTTAATTATTAATTTGTAAAAAACCGATTTGACCTGATAAAGGATACTGGAGCTGTAGTATATTTTCATCCATCGTACATCTTTCACTTTTGATTGGTTTGGATATGAAATCACTACTTTTATACAAAACATTGTCATTGATTATTTGAAAACTCTCAATCGATTCTTTGATGACTTCTTCATTATTTTCATTATTATTTTGGTTCATTTTGGTAAATTAAAGATTTATTAAAACATTAATAAAACCATTAAAACTAATAAAACTAATAAAACTAATAAAACTAATAAAACTAATAAAACTATTAATAGGTTTTGCTGCAAAAAAACAAAAAACAAAACAGCGCTGTTCTGTTGCTTAGTGAATAATTTTAACACATATGGTAATATAGAGAGGCCGTTACATATATCCTCCGTGCTCTAGTCATAGAGTAATATAGAAATACCAAATTAAATAAATTATTGAACTACCTACTGACTACTATTTAGAGATTATTGTTATTGTGAAATTTGAATACAGTAATCTAATAATCTAAATAATAATCTTTTGAATACAAAAATCTGTTATCATTTTTGTTTTATCAATTCTCATAAAATTAATATTCACCACGTACCACATCCCCGCATGACCCACACTGCAAACTACCATGGTTGCCCCTTTTACATGGAGCTAAGCAAAACAAAACAAACACAAAAACCAAATCTGCCTACCATACAAGAAATACCTACGGAAACCAAACCCCATCAGAACAAATCCACTCAAGGAACACCTACTACAATCAAAGCTCTCCAGAACGAATCCACGGAAAAATACGATCATACTCAGATGTCACGAACCATCTCAAAAACTAACCAACAGTAAACGCTTCGAAAATTCTCATAACTGTAAAAGATTTACTCTCAACAATTCAACATTGTACTGACTCAGTGGCAAAAGATGTCATTCTAAAAACAGTACTCAACATCATAAATTCCATCAGCCACGATGAATAACCTACGCATTCTTTCGTGGAACTGCAACGGCATTGAAACCAAATTTCCTGAACTCGCTACCTTTATCAAAAATCATAAAATTGACATAATCCTACTTTGTGAAACTCGTTTAAACATAAAGCACCAACTCTCACTCCCAAACTTCTATACTTATCGTACCGACTGCATTCCTGCTCCACGGAAACCAACAACAGGTGGCACCGCAATCCTGGTACGATGCAACATCGTCCACCAACCCATCAACATTAAGTCTTTGATAGGCTCAACAACGATTAAATTTCAATTAAACAACAACATTGTCCAAATTTCTGCAGTTTATAAGAGCCCCAGGGACAAGCTACAACATCAAGATCTCAACGTGCTAACGAACCACAATGGACCTTTCATAATTGCCGGTGATCTAAACGCGAAACACACGACGGACAAACACTGCAGGAAATATTTTACTACACCATATGGAATCTACCGACTTGTACGCAGCGCCGGACTCTCCAACCTATTATCCGTTCAACGCTGACCATCAACCAGACGTCTTGGTAATTCTTCTACTTAACCTACAACCACAGAAATACTCATTCAACAATATCAGTGACCTCTCATCGGACTATAACCCAATCATTCTATCGATCTGCGATTCACCACTAACAAATTCATCACCAAGATCCCGTACAAAAACAAATTGGAAACAATTCACTTTAGAAATGGCCCGCATAACCCAAATTCCCCATATCAGCACAAAAACAGACATCGATAGAGAAATTGAAAAAATCACAACAAACTTACAGCAAGCAATAAAAAACTGCTCTACTACACAAAAAAACCCCCGGACCTTCTCCAGCCTCTATGATGAAATACTTTTGGGAATTAGAACTAAAAGGCACCTAAGAAAAGAATGGCAAATCAGACGCGATCCTGAAATAAAACGAATGTACAATGCACAGATTTCGTATGTAAGAAACCTAATCCAAGACCACCGAAAAAAAGAATGGGATGATTTCACGGCCAAACTAAACTTCAAACACAAATCCATCTACAAACTAAACAGATGACTCCTTCATAAAACACCAGCATCAGCACCGTTAAGGACTCCTGACGGAAACAAAATCTACGACGAAGGAACAAAAGCCAAACTCTTTGCTGAAACTATGGAAGATCTGTTTAAAAACAACCCCGGCCCTGAGCTACCAGAAGTGGACCAATCTATTGATGAAATCGATGATCACTCCACACCGTCCTCAGAATTCACTTCACCGAAAATAGTAGGGAAAATAATATCAAAACTTCCTCCTTGTAAGGCACCGGGTTTCGATGACATAACAAACACGGCGCTCAAACACTTACCAACGTCTGCCATCATAACGTTAGCACAAATATTCACGGATTGTTTTAGATTCTCATACTTCTAGGAAAAATGGAAAACAGCAACCATCATCATGATCCCCAAGCCAAGGAAAGACCATCAGGAACCAGTAAATCACCGACCAATTTCGCTTCTCACCACCATGTCTAAAGTATTCGAAAAAATCATACTCGAAAAACTTAAAATATTCATTAAACCTCGACCTGAACGCCTTTAGAGGAAGTCACTCCACAACGACGCAACTCACTACGGTCATCAAGGACTTTCTGGACAATTCAAACAATGGCAAAAAAACAGATAGTGTCTTCCTGGACGTAGAGAAAGCTATCGATCGAGTCTGGCATAAAAGCCTCCTCCACAAACTCCTTAAAATAAAAACACCTACCTGCCCAATTCGACTAATCAAATCTTTCCTAAACAGTAGATCATTTCGTGTCAAAGTTGGTGACCAGCTGTCAACCTCCAAACCTATCAAAGCTGGAGTCCCACAAGGATCATGCCTCTCCCCACTTCTGTATGTAGCATACATAAATTACATACCCACAGGAAACCAAACAAAGGTAGCACTGTTTACAGATGACACCCTACTCTACTCACGAAACAAAAGCGCAAATTACGCAACCGCTCAACTCCAAAGACAGATGGACCAAACAACACTGTGGCTTAATAAAACTAAACGTATCAAAAACCGTAGCAGTACTCTACGGTCCAAACAAAAAAATCTCCGAAAAAACTGACAATCTCAGGTTCTCCCATCGATTGGTCAAAGGAAGCAAAGTACCTAGGCGTCACAATTGACAAAAACCTGAACTTCAATATTCAAGCTCAAAACACAATTAAGAAAGCAAAAGGTGCCCGAGCAACGCTCTACCCAGTTTTGAAACGATATAGTCCAATACCTGCAGACAACAGACTAACAATTTTTAAAATATATATACGAAAAATACTAACTTACGTGGCAACGGCATGGGGACCATTAATAGGCAACACAAATTGGACAAAAATCGAAGCTGTCCAAAACATCGCACTGAGGACAATCACCGGTGCACACTATCTCACTCGTAACTCAGCTCTTCTCAACTCCACGAACATGACAAAAATCTAAGAGACAACCAAACACGCAGCCAAAGCATTCCGTTACCGAGCAAACATTTCTAAATTCCCACACCTCCAAACCTTAAAACTACCATCAAAACATAACTGAAATAAAATAAAACAGCGCAATCAAAGCCAAACAAACCACAAATAGAGGCATAGACAACTAGTCTGAAACTCTAAATAGGCCCTAGACCACCCACCCAAAGCCAAGTCCAAGTCCATCAATCATTCCTAGACTGAAGTTATGTAGAGCATTGGTATTAGCTGAGCTTTCGGAGGACACTCTAGTTGAACTCAAGGAATTAAACTAAATGTATTTATACCATCCAGCAATGTATATATATGGTCAGATTCCGTGATAGTAATATACAGCAAATCTCTATTTTCGGCTTACATTTCAAAAAGCCTCACTTAAATCCACAACTTGCCTTCTTTCAACCAATCGCATCATGCACCATACAATGACAAACTGGCTGACTTAATTTATCGGGGAACTGAAAGTGCGGCCATATAGCAAGTCAATACTGTTGTGGCATTGGTTAGTACACGAGTAGCGAAGTCTATGGCATGCCAATTTTTAAACAACAGATGCATTGTTCGAAATCCACACATTACAACTAGTACTTACAGAATCACATGAACCATCGCCATGGTTATTAGAAAAATATTCAGCTTGGGCGATGTTACTCAGTGGACTACCTTAATACAACGCTTTATAAATAATTACAAGAGTTCACATTTAAAAAGTTGTGATAGGTATTCAATTGAATTCATAAGCATCACAGAACTAGCAGAAGTGGAATGATTCTGATTGATCAATTTTCAGATCCATACATTCAGAGATGAGTTGTCTTAGTTGAAAGTAAACCAGATGGTATACCTGACGTGGACCCTATGATTGAATCAAGATTGATCGTGGTCCGGTCGAAGGGTCTGGTTAGGTTTGAAGTGATAAAAAACACAACACAAACACTATATGGATTTAATTTTAAATATGTGGGTGGTGAGTTAAACGTTGGACGATATGCTAACGGTCCAATGATCGATTTTCGATCGGCCTTTTCCGCTAACCGTACGTTGCCCAGACCGGCTCGGTGGAAGAGTCGACAAGGTCCGGTGGTTTTCGTCCCGTAGTAGTGGTTGGGGATATCATATACGGGCCGCTATAGTGCTTGTACATTGTACTTGCTACTAATGGGGGCCGCATCAAACCACAGTAGATTATTAATAACATATATTACTATCCATTTCTCGATTGCGATCGCCTGGGTAACGCGTCTATAATCTATGGATCTAAGCATCCAGTCGTATGCCAATCCAAATACGTGGTTACCAAGTTAATCTTCGTGTATGGGCAATGGGCATCGCTGATTATTGCATGTGGGCCCTCAAGCATTACTTTTACATTTAAATATTGGTCACTTCGAGAAACAATAATAACTACAATAATAGTCAATCATTGTGTACAAAATTTTCCTACAAGACAACACTGTTCGACTCTCTTTAATAGCAGGACTAGAGTTTTCCTGGCAAGTAAACAGTGGAAACATAGTTGTTCGCGCCAAGCAATTATTGCTTATCGCGGGACGCTAATCTGCGCGACGGCGACATCTTCCCTCCTCTTCCGACCACTCATCCCGTATCTCATGCCGTTACTATTGAGCAACGATTATGATAATTATAATAATTGTACGATTGTTGTATTTCATATTGTATATACTCTCTTTGTTTTTCTCATAAAAATTATCTGTCGGCCTTTTGCCTCAGACAAATGTTTTCAATGTTATCTCTATGAGATAAAAACTTTGTTTTTATTATTGTTGCGGCCAACGCCCTTTTGTATTATTATTATTATTCAATTTTTACTATTCGTGTTTTTTGGTCCGCTATTACAGCGTCCATACGTTTTTTTGTTTTATATATATTGTGTGATCCGCTCATATAGTGATCAATATTATTATTAATATAAATATTATTTGTTGTGATCTGCTAATATAGCGATCCGTAAATGGTGTGTGTGGTCCGCTAGTAAAGCGAGTACAAAATATATTTCTTTATTTTATATTTCATGGTGCACACGGTTGCCGATTATTACTATTATTATTTTTTATCATTATACTGTGTGTCACTAAACAATCTGAGAAACAATAAAAATACGATCTTCAACAAAAATTCGTAAGTCTCTACTTTGTCATTATCTCTCTCGTCATCATCTTTGGCAGCTCGCTGTTGTCAACGTCGGTGCCGTCCGATTCTGCGCGTAAGTCCGCTAGCAACGTAGGTATGTACGTTGTGTGAGAGGCCACCCCAGGTCGTCCAGGTCGACAAATGCCAACAGCGTCAATCCAGTGGGTCATCTCAAGACTGCAGTAGGGTTAAGGTAGTTTTAAGTCTTATCCCTATTGTTGTGAGCTCTGTGGTCATTGCACCAAACCGAATCGGTCACAGGGACCCCCTCCCCATAACTAGCCTGCACCATCCTCACTCCGACAAATAGGTCTTTCCCATCCTCGTCATTGTCGTCGTCGTGCGTAGAATTGCCTACCCACCAAATATCAGGCGAAAGCACCTAAGGTTGCCTATCAACCACAATAGTAGGCGATAGGAGTGATACAGGCAACGTCTAACACTCTCCTCATGAACAAATTGTTCTCGGGCATCACCGAGTGGTCCTTCGACTGTTACGGTTAAACTCTCGGGCTTAAACATTTTGGTCCTTCGAGCTGGATTTACCTACAAACCGTGACCGAACAAATACACGTTCATTATATTTTCTTCGTTTATTACACTACCATGACATATCGAATTGAACCATTGTCGTTCATTGTCGTCCAATTTTAGTATCGACCAAATTGTATTTCTGTCATCATGGTTGTTGAAATTTCGATGACGTATGTCGATGCAAAGGCACGGATGGTTCGTGCCATTGCAAAAGTCAGCGCCTTTGTCAAGGCTGCCGGCGAGTTTTCATCTGATAAAAATAGTCCTGGTAAACGAGCAAAAATTTCAGCCATGCTATTGGAGCTGAAAGAAATTCGCTTGACTGCAGAATCCGACATCCAAGTTATGGAGATTTCTGTTGGAAAAAAATTAACACCAATTGAAGTGGTAGATAACTCCATTAGTCTCAAGCTCTCTGCTGAGTTTGATAATTTGTACTACGAGTTGGTTGCGTTTGCAGATGTTTATGACCTTCCATTGACTCAAATTGTCGACTCATCCTCTTGTCAGTCAGTACAAAATCATTCAGCCAGTTTCGGAAACCTCTCAACTTACAAATTTCCAACACGGAAGTTTCCTACATTTTCTGGACTTCTGACTGAATGGCAGGGTTTCGAAGATTTGTTCACGTCAATTCTATCCCATGCCCCAGCTGATCTTACGGACGTCGAGCGATTCGAGATTTTAAAAACTTCGCTGGAAGGTGAGGCCATGACGCTTATCGCACATATTCCTTTGACATCGGTAAACTACCAAAAGGCTTGGGAAGTATTACGTTCGCGATACGGAAATAAGCGGGACTTAGCTCGTATCCATCTGGATGCTCTGTTATCCCCACATACAATCAAGGCAAACGACGCGTCTTCAATTAAAACTCTAATCACATCTATTCAAGAGCACACTGCTGCTTTGGATAATTTGGACTTTATTACGAGGCAGTGGAGCCCAATTTTGGTCCACATATTTGAAAATCATTTGGACTATGACCTCCGAGCGCGTTGGGAGATAACTGTGGGTGACCGACATCAACCGTCGACTGCCGATTTTCTTGAATTTCTCAGAAGTCATGTACGATCCGCAGAAGCACGTGCTGGACAGTACTCGTCGAGTCTGACGTTGTTCACGTCTCAGCAAAAACCTCCTCAAAAATCGTTGACTTCCAAATCTCGTCACCCGATTGCACCAAAGGTTCTAGCTGCTACTACCAGCTCATCTACCGTGGTTACCTGTCCATTATGTACAAAACCACATACGGTCCGAAAGTGTCCAACTTTTCTTTCAAAATCACCAAATGATCGTTTCCAGTTAGCCAAGACGCACCGTTTGTGCATAAATTGTCTGGGCACAGGACATGCTACTTCATTATGCCCTTCAAAATACAAATGCACAACTTGTGATCGGTCTCATAATAGTTTGCTTCACTTTGACTCAAAGGAGAAGCCTCCCTCCTCGTCCACGGTTCTCTCAGTAGACCAACCCGAGGCTGGTCAGAGTGCCAAAGCAATGATTGTCAGAGGACAGCCTCAGAACGTAGTCCTACTCTCTACTGTACTACTCGATGTGGTCGCTGCTGATGGCACCCGTCATTCAATTCGAGCCCTGTTCGACAGTGGTGCTCAAGCGAGTTATATAACTGAAAAAACTGCGTGTGTGTTGATGCTAAAGCGACATCATTCGACAGTAGCCATTACCACGTTTGCCAGTAGTACAACATCCCCAGTCCGTGGTCAAACAACCATCACTGTGATGCCACGTGGCCAACAGGTACCGTCGTTTTGCGTGGACACTTACATCGTCCCACAAATCACAGGACCAACTCCACAAGCTCCTATTGTGCCGGGACAATGGAGACATATTCAAAACCTCTCCCTCGCTGATCCGTTATACCATCGTCCTCAGGCAGTTGATCTTTTGTTGGGGGCCGATATCTTGCCAATGCTACTTCTAAATGGAAAAGCCACAGGCCAGCCTGGCGAGCCCATTGCCTTCGAGACTGTTTTTGGTTGGATTCTGATGGGACCTGTCGACAGTAGTGCTCAGTCAACTGTCACCGCTATGTGTTTATCTGTTTCTGAAACTCTTGACTTGTCTATCCGGCCTTTCTGGGAACTTGAAGAGTTACCTGTTGTTCGCCATCTCAGTCCAGATGAGCGTGCTTCCGAGGAAACTTATAAAAATACAACAACTCGGCTGAGTACTGGACGGTTTATGGTATATCTTCCATTTCGAAAAGCATCACCCCTGATAGGTGATTCAAAATCTGTTGCCCTTCGCCGTTTCCAGGCACTCGAAAACCGACTGAACAATGATCCGAACCTTCAACGCCAGTACGCAGACTTCATGCAAGACTACCTGGACGCTGGTCACATGGAGCTGGTTCCACTCGAAAACACAGACAATGTGTTTCATTATTATATTCCGCATCATTGTGTACTTAGACCGGACAGTAGCACCACCAAGCTTCGTGTCGTTTTCAATGCTTCGTCTCGTACAAGTGCTGGGTGTTCCTTGAATGAGAGCATGTATACGGGTCCGAAGCTTCAGCCCGACATTCAAATTGTTCTTCTCCGTGCACGGTTGTGGAAATATAAATTCATGACAGACATCAAACAGATGTATCGGCAAATTGTGGTGCGGCCTGCTGATCTAGATTACCTGCGAATTTTCTGGAGATTTTCGAAAAATACCACAGTGTAGGAATACCGTCTCTGTACGGTCACTTACGGCACATCAGCGGCACCATATCAAGCTCTTCGTACAATTCAGGAATTGGCAATCGTTGATGGAAAATTATTTCCCATCGCTGCGTCAATTCTCCTGAACGACAACTTTGTGGATGATATTCTCACTGGAGCTAACACCGAGAAGGATGCCCTTGAATATCAGTCGCAGCTTATACAATTGTGTTCGTTAGCCAAGTTTGAGCTACGAAAATGGGCCAGCAATAACAGTAATATCTTACACGCTGTTCCCGCAGAAGCTCAAGCAATGTCTCCAGCCCTCCTGTACAATGACAAAAATGAATGTGAATTAAAAATCCTGGGTTTGAAATGGGATCCGAGAGCTGACGTGTTTTCATTTGATACAAAACCATCGTCAACTGACCCGACAAAGCGGTCAGTTCTCTCTGACATTGCCAGAGTTTTCGATCCGTTAGGATTGCTGTCTCCCATTACGTTCTGGACAAAACACGTCATGCAGTTGCTCTGGACCGCTGGTCTCAAATGGGATGACAAAATACCCCCAGATATTGCTCAAGTGTGGACTCGATATCAATCAGAACTGAAATTGATTGAATCGATCTATCCCTCGTCGTATAACAGTTGAAGAAGCTACCATAGTGCAACTTCACGTCAGTGGGAGTTAAAATATTTTCTAATTGTTATTTCAAATCAGAATTATCCTGGTTATTATATTGATAAAATATCAGCCAAGAACGAACATTTTGGTATCCAATCGTTGTCTTTTAAAAAAAACGTGTAAATTCATAGTGCTCCGCTTTTATAAAAAACAGCAAAAGTTCCCCTTTCAGTTCGCAGAGATGTAAGATCCTCTGGATAACCACTTCACTTTGGTCTGGTGGAAAAAAATTGTGAAACTTGCATCCATAAATTCACAAATTTGGGAGAAAATTCTACTTCCCAGGGGTTTTCCTTTAATGTAGTTGACCGGTATTAATATGAACGGAATTAATCAGAACAGAATTGAGTTCATTACCCAGCAATTTTATCATGCGCTTCTCTGTGGATGAAACATAGTCATTCTTGGTTTTACGCCTAACGATTACAACCGTAGAGTTCAGTATCGTTCACTTCGCCGCCGTCCACCTCGTGATCGTCATACCAGCTGTTGCCATCATCGGAGACGCCGATATCGTTTTTCCCGACCGAGGCGCATGTGCCGGAACTATCATTTATTATAATTTATATTATTATTGTTGATCTGTGCTCGGTCGAAGAGACGTCTTCACCAGCCATTATATACATTTTTGGTGTTGAAATACACACATTATTATTATTACAACATTGTGGTTCTGTTATTTATATTCGGTCACCTTATCCACCCCAAACTCCTGAACACCATTTTTATTATTATTAGTTGCCCAAACAAATGCAAGTTAATAGCCGGGGACACAACAACTGCCTTGTTTTAAATTTCTTCACAGGGATATTATCTTTTGAGCCCGGAACATAACGGTCATTTGAGCATTTGATATTGCCTAGAATAATTCTTTTGATTAGAGAATAAGGATTTTTCGGCATTGGTTTGAATGCACTTGAATTGCTGCAAATTCGGGAAGTTCTTTGGATTTTAAACTTAATTACCATTCACCAACCGTAGTGGAATCTAATTTACAACACACTAGTGTTAATAGAAACGCATCCCACATAGCTACAGACTGTTGCAAAGGTTTCAGTGATCGGTAATGGGATACAATATGATGATGAAGTTAGTGCAGTTCAAAGGCTGACTTTCATTTACAGTTGTGCCTTGTTATGCACGCTCTTTGTACTCACCTTGCTGTGTCAATCTCCGCGGGGCTATTCCTTTTGTCCTGATTTTCTAGACGTGGTGGGTGGTATCTCGAAATGATCCTAGGCGCGTTTCGGGTGACGTGACATTTTGGTCGGCTTGGTTTAAGTGTGGGCGTTGGGTGATGACTCTGTTGTTGACCTTCGTCCGGGGACTTGCTGGTCCAACAACACAACAAAAATACCACTGGAACGTGGAAACGACCCACCCGTTTGATTTCCTCCCAACATCACCTATCTTCTGATTTCCTCCCCCACTGGAGTTTGGGTCTCCATGCTTTGGATGGATGCTCTCTGGTTCCGGTCTTACCACGCTCGGGTCAGGTTTTCCCATGTAAAAGTGTTCCACCCACCACCCGACCTGCTATTAGTCTGACCATCACTAGATTGGCTACCGCCCCATCTAGCAGTTCTTGTTAAATGTTAGTCATGATGGAACTACCGGGTAATTCGAGTTTTCCGGATTGCAGCAGCTTGCTGAGTGCGTGTTAATCTGACATCTGAAATCATACGGTCTAACTCTGTTTTTTCAAGTATTTTGTTTGTTTGAAACATCAGCTATATAGTTTGTGTACTATATGGTTTGTATGGTAATAACCCTTGTCCTTCTGTATTTACATTAAATTGTTAGGTAAGTATTTCCAGCTTGAGTGAACGGATTGTTGTGGTATTTAAATAGCCTGGAGTGAAGCGGACAACTTAACCAAATCAAACCAAGCAACCATGTAACTAAGTTAATTTTGTACTGAATTGCAGTTAGCTAATGTATCAACTCGACTAAAGTTTTTGAAGTCATCAGTGAACATTTGAAAAAATTCAGAGGAGGCAAGTAGCCTCCCTGTGGAATACCTGAACGGGTTTCAATAACATTGGATTATATCAAAAAACTTTAACCTATTAACCTCTGATTGTTAAATACAAGAAAGTACAAACTCGCCAAATCCTGACTTGTACCTAAAGAATATCCATCAGAATATTGTATTCGAATCTGTCAAAAGCTTTGGCTAAGTTCGTGAAAATTACATCGACATGAGAGCTATCCTCAAAAGCTTTGAGAATGATGTTTATAAATACACTTCAGTTTGATACATCTGAGCGACTGGGTCTGAAGCCATATCAATAAGTCAATCAATATATTGTAAACCAGTGGTAGGATATTCCGTAACACTTAATAAGCTAAAAAGCTCAAATAGTTTGACAATATGACACAAGATTTAAATCCGTCTACATTTTTCATAGCAGAGTTATTTCATGATTTTAATACCGGGGAGACAGTACTCATCTTCAACATGTTCGGAAAGACTCCTAGATCCATTGAAAACCTAGACACCAAACATAAAGGATAGCTTAAGCTAAAGGCTGACCTAATATGGAACAGAAAACTACAAGACAAATCATCGGGTCCAGTAGATTTAACATTTTTGAAAGTGGCGAGACTAGCCTCAATATCCTCGACATAGAATAGTCATTACGTAAATTATGATGACAAAAAGAAATATCATGGTTATTATTACTTTGATAAGTTGGTACATAAGCGAACTTGAAATATGTTGAAAATAGATAAGAAATTGACCCGGGTCCTGAACTTGTTACATCATTGTAGAAGACAGAATTAAGGATTACGGTGGTAGATTTATATTTGCGTACCAAGTTCCAAGAAAATCGTGGATTTTGATTTAGTTGATTATTAGTGAGAAACAAAAATTCATTATAACATTTTTGTACTGTATCTTAAATTAGGCATGAATATTAGAAAAGTAAATATTGTCCACAAAGAGGAGTCTGTGTTGTTTAAAAATACCTTTCATGCCTCCATTTTCTCCATAATAATAAACTATTATTCACTAGTAAAAAAACTAGGGAATCTAGATCGATTATATTCAACATCTATAACGAAATTTAGGACACCAAAATTGTAGGTGTTATAAATCGTGAGCGTTGCTCGATGTCAATTGACGTAATAACTAGAAGCCAATTAAATGACGAAAATAAATTAGCAGATCTCCATATAAATCCTTGATGGTAGTCAAATAATTTATGCAAGCTATCAGCAAGTAGTATGCCATAATTAAAAGTAAACATAATTCCCAAAGGTAGGTCCTAAGAATCACTTAGTACAACAACAGTATCAGATTAAAGACACAATTGTTTGGGTTATTAGAGGACACTAGAGCAAGGGCATTGCCGAAAGAATTATGTCACGCTATTTAATGGAAAAAGTTGAAAAATACAAACATTTGTGTATTTTAATTGTTTATTCTACAGCAACTCATAATCAGCCAAATGATTTATTGTTACCATTAATTATTATTACCACAATACCACACATACACAATTTTACTCAACACTTGTTAGTTGCTACATAGCTCGACTGTATTTGGCAACTACACACCCCGCTATTCCTCCATATATTATCTAAATTTCAAATGTAACTAATTTAAGTATGTCAATGACTCAAAAACTTGCCCGAAAGTTTTAGCTATCATTTTCTAAATATAAATACTACAATTTCAGAGTAAATGCATCAAAATGGAACTATTTTCTTCAGTAAGTATTTTGTATTTGCTCTGATTAATTAAAAATTTTAATAAGAAATCAAATTCTTGAACAATTGTAGGTAATATTGATTGAAAACAAAATATTTTAAACATGATAAATTTAGTATGAACATTAAATATTTTTGTTTATGGTTATGTATAACTTTTTTTTTTTATTTAAAAGAAGAATATTTACAATCTATACAATAAGGTATAATGAGTAAGTGTATTGAACATTAGACATAAAACAATAACGTTAATAGGAAGGCACAAAGCAGTGCCACCTGACGAGAAATTATGTTTTGTTTTTATTTTATTTAGGTTTTTTTTAATCTTTTTAGTTAGTAAATCATTTTTTTTTTTTTAAGCATTGAGCAGGTCTCTTGGCCATTTTCTTTTTAACCTTCTAGGACTAAGTGAGGTAGTGGATATATTTTTAATCAGTGGATTTGAATGAGCGTGAAGTTTTGAGTGGAATTTTATGTAATGAGATTTGGCTGAGTCGTTGTGGGTTGGAATATTAAGGCCTTTGTGGAGGTTTTTGTTGGTTACATACCAAGGGGCAGAGGTTATTAAGGGTAAACATATGAATTGGAATGCTTTCAAGGTTTTAGTGTTTTGATGGCTTTGCTTGCCCCCATAGTTGGATGACGTAAAGCCAAGCCGGACAAATTATCGATTTGTGCATCGTGAGTTTGTTGGCTAGAAAAGTTTCAATTTTAATAGTGGTCTCAGAAGATGCAGTCTACAGTTCACAAATTTGTGTTTTTATTTTAGATGCGAGGTCCAGTTATGGAGTTTTTCAAATATTAATCCTAGCCAAAAGGTACTTTACTTCGTCTGATGAAGGAATTACTTTATTATTAAAAGTGACAGGTGGGCAATCAGAATTGCGCAATGTAAAAGTTATATGAGTAAACTTGTTTTCATTGATTTTTATTTCCATTGTTTTGTCCATAAGTTGATCATATTTAAGTTACTTTGGATCATCCGACAATCAGTTGTGGAATCCTGATGTGACTCTGAAATTAGAGTCGTCGGAATATGTACCAAGGAATGTGAAGGATGTTTTTGGGATGTCGTGGCTGAACACAGAATAGAGAAAGGGAGCAATTTCGCTTAACTTGTTTGACACCTGCTAAAATACCATAGCTGGATGAATAACTATTTTTAATACGAACCTTAAAGGAACGGTCAGATATATATGATTTTATTAATAAGAAATATTCAAATATGGTGCTGGAATAAACTTTTTTATTTTGAAGAGTAACCGTTCATGCCGGACCCTATCAAAGGCCTGCGAGACGTCCAGAAACACAGTGGGGTAGAATTCTTTTTTCTCCAGCGAGTTGGAGATTTTATCGACAGTGCGATGAAGTTGGTGGATAGTTGAGTGATGGGCTCTGAAACCGAATTGGGTATGAGGAATGATATAAGCTGCAGTGGCAAGGGGGATGAGTCTTTTTGAGAGTATTTTTTCGAAGATTTTAGAGAAAGTAGGATGAAGGCTTATCGGTCTGTATGATGCAGGATTTTCAGGAGGTTTGTTTAGCTTGAGAATAAGTACTACGACGGAGTGCTTCCATGTGCTTGGAAAGAAAGATAATCTGAGTATTGCATTGTAAAGGTGGGATAGGTATAAAATAGGTATATTATACAATGGCTTTGCGTGGTAGATTTTTTACGATATAGTTCTTAATTAGGTCATGACCTGGGGATTTTTAGGCAGGAATTTTTTTTAATTATGGTGTTAATTTCATCGGGAGATGTAGGTTTGGCAGGCATGGACATAGGTAGAGGAGCTTCCAGGTAGTTTTCAACTATTTTTAGCTGGGTATGGCTGGGTTGGATATCATGAGGAGAAAAAGATTTTTTAGGTGTTGTGCTAGAATATTTGCTTTGTCAATGTCGGTAATAACCCATGACTTGTCTTCATTTCTTAGAGGAGGTGTAGGTTGGTTAAGACGGAGTAAGGATTTTATCGCTTTCCAAAGAGACGAGTTTTTTGTGGATAATGATTCAATATAATTATTGTAGGATTGATTTCTGTAATTTTAAATAGTCTTTTTTATCTTGCTACTTAATTTGTTAAGTTTTACCTTGTTATTGGGGTACCTGAATGTTTGCCACTGATTCCTTGTTCTACGTTTTTCGGCAAGTAATATTTTAATGTGATAGGGGGTTTGTTTTTTTTGAGTTGGTACAGTTATGAGTTTTGCTGATTCTAGTGGGTGATCTTTTCCACATAGAGCACAAATAGCTTGGGTGGTTTTGGTTTTTTCACACATGTCGGAGAGGTGGTTTTGCCCAAAACGGTCACACCTAGGTGAGCGATTGCATTATGTACGTGTATGCCCTTAGTTTTGACATCTGTGACATTGAGGTAGGTCACGTCTAGAATGAGGTTCATCAATCTTGACTATTGATTGGCAAAGCGTCATTGGCTTGAATTTTTCTGGGTTGTTTGGTGCTGGATTAAGATCGATGAAAAAGAGAGGGAATAGAGTGCTGGGTTGGTTTTTACTCTTTACGTTGGTAACATTTCTGACCTAAAATCCTAGATCGTTGAGGTCTTGGGTAATAAGTTCAGTAGACGTTGTGTGGTGAAGGTTTTTTAACACTACTCAATATGATTTTCTTCCTTCGTTTGGTATGTAAAGTATTCGACAGATTATCGTCAGTAATTTGATTACTTGACGAAAGGATTGAGAAGATTTTAGTGTTAACTTGAGATTTTTGGTTGTGATTTTGCATATTAATTCTTCGTCGCCAATTAAGGTTTTTATTTGATTACAGGAATTTTGATAGTTGACTAGTGTGGTGATAAAAATTGGTGGAGGGGTTGAGGCAGGATGGTATTTTCTGATTGCATTTTTTCGTTTTCGTCCTCATTTTCAATATTTGTTTCTGTTTCAGTTTCTGTGATGTTGAGAGTTTCATAGCCGTTGGGAGTGGTGTATGTAAATTTGTTTTTGTTAATATTGTTTTTTTTGATACAGGTGAGTTGTCTGAGGAACTTTGACTTTTTCCGGTTTTGATTATCCAATCTGGCCTGACATTTGGAGTTTTCTGTGTGTTTTTAGCTATGACAATTTTTAATGATTTCCCTTCGTCATTTGAGCCCCTCTGTATATTGTTGGGGTGAGGAAGACTGGCTTTTGATAAGCTGGTTATTCATGTTCGGCATTGTGCCCCGAGATTATCTACGGGACCAAGGTCACGTACGATTACAGTGGCTGGAACCGACGCTTGATAATTAAACGATCTAATTAGTGTAAACCGTGCGATGATAGATAATTGATCTAATTAGTTTTAACACTTATTTGACCGTATAGATTTTCACTTACGGCCTATTTAAATGAAAGTTTTATGTAAATTCGTGGATTAATTTCCTTAAGATTTTGATCTAAGTTAGAATAAAATCGGTTGCAAATTACACCAGATAGTGTACGCATGGCGCGGAGCAGATTACACCTTTGTGTATTGCTACGCTAACCGCGGTGAACTGATATACAACTTTAAAAATAATATTATCACATTCTAAAAATAATTTTATGTTAATAAATTGCTTTTGTAAATATTTAAAAGTTATATTAGGTACCTACCCTAATTTGTTTTTACCCTAAATTGGGATAAGTTTATTTAAAATTAAAATATTCTAAATAATAGAATAATATTCTGTTTCCGAACATAAAATTAAAAATGTTATGTCATTCAATATTCAATTAAAGTAAAAAAACTTAAAAAATTATAACGATAAAAGTAGTGGTTAATTTAATTTTTTTTTAAATATTTTTTAGTAATTACTTTTAAATTTTAAACTATGCAAAAGAAATAGGTATTTTAAAAAATGTTAGTGCTTTCGGAAATAATGAGTGCCTAACGTTTAACTTGATTTCTCAGTATACATAAAACATATAATACCGTGTACCCAATAATCCCGCACCTAACGAATAAACGATGATCAATTGTCACCACTGGCACTCAGTACCTGACAAATAACAAGACAAACCCCAGACAAGTCAAATTACATGAATCAATGTCATTTATGCGTATATTTATAATATTATTTTCTTTGCGTATATTATTATGTTCACCTCCACTGTTGGTCAACAAACTGCGACGAGCGTGCGCATTAGGTACATCACGCAAACGTAATGTTGTACACACAAACACACACACACACACACGTTGTAGTTACCTCCGTAGTATGTCCATTCCATTATTATTATTATTATTATTATTCACTTATCTACCAAACAGTAGTTGTGACTTGTGAATGGCGAATGCCCGTCGTGAGTTTTTTTTTTTTTTACCTACGTCTACTCCTACTGCTTAAACAGTGAACAATACTATAAACAATACGACTACAACTACTACTTGTTATTACTTCTACTACTATATCTAGATCTACAAATGTGACTACGACTACTACTACCACTAAAATATTATAATAGATAAAATATAATATAATATATTGCATTATAATTTATATTTCCACCATCGACCATCGTGCACGCGTGTCGCGGATGAATACAATTGGACGAGATTCATAATAATTTAATTAACGATTTCGTTTTCTGTTTCTTTTTTTTGCCGGCGATCGGGGTAATCGTCATTGTCACTAAATGTCGCATATTATTGTTTTATCAAAAGTCGCGATATCACCGCATCGTCGTCTGGCCTCTTACTGCTCTTAGTCCTCAGAATCCTATTGCCAATTGCCATCCGAAACACTAACGTACTTATACTACGGACAATAGTGTAGTTGTTGTTCCTACCTACTATCCGTATGTCTTACCGATCGCGAATACTATGCTGATACGGACGTCCACGAAAGCCACAATTTACAGAGGTAGCGTCGTCCACTGTCGGCGACGGAAACGCGCGTTATTCGCGTCGTCGTAAAGTCGTCTTACCGCCGTGTAGAGTACGATATCCGCCTACAAGTCTGCTTATAATCTGCCGACATTATTTATGTGTACCTACCGACCGTGGACAGCAGTGATATAATATATCAAATGGTTTTTGGGTATCATGGTACACAGCCGTGGTGGTGCTGTCGCCGCAGTTGTCGAGTCTACAACACATTGCAATCTTCAGCAATCGCTCGCAACAGCAGTGCCCTTGGCACCAGCACTATCTGTATCGAATCGCTGCCGTCGCCTTTATAATAGTTGTGGTGGCAATAACCATGACACGAGATTCGGCGGCGGTCGCCGCTTTAGACGACCGCCGCCGCCGCTGCCCTATATCGGCGGCATCCAACGTAGTGGACGATGCCTCAACATTGATGACCAACAGTATTGCTATGAGCGGATCAAGTAGCAATGATGACGTTGGTGGTGGAGATGAAGGTGGTAGCCTCAAGTCCTCATCTGAAGTGTCAACAACAACTAGCTGCTGTGGTGGTAGCAGTAGTAGCAGCAGAAGTGGAAGCGATGATGACGATTCTGCCACTGTTACCAGGTTGGCCACAGCAATTGATGACAGTTGTTCTACAACTATCAAAACTCTCACATCACCGTCATTACACAGACATATGGAAGACGATAAAAATGGTGATAAAGATTCTTCTAGTAGTAGTCATAGTGATGAAGCTACCGCGACCACTCCAACAAGTATTGGAGGACGTCTCACGTTTTATAAAGGTAACTAAATAATTAAGTTTATAGTTATAATAGGTATAATGTTATAATACAAACTTCCAATACTCAAATAATATACCAATAATATACTTGCCAGTGTCGTTCTTATTTGATACAAGTGATAGGTAGGTGTATAGAAACCTATATATCCCTACCTAGACAGCATTTTGTAATGATAATGTTATAATAATGTTAGGTATATAGGTACTATAATAATATTAAAATCATGAATAATATGTTTAGTCAAACATTTGCTGTCTGGGATATATTTTATATAATGAATATTCACTTTGGTAATTTAAATTCTGTTTAAAGAAAATAAATATAGAATCTAATATTTTTGAACTTATATAGGTACATATGTAGGTATGCACACAAAATACTTAAGTGTGCTTAAGTATCCATCTTTGTTAGTCAATGTTAAAACATAGTTGATACATTTATTGTTCAATACCTTTTTTTTTCTTTGTGGCATCACTAAAATAAGGCCGAACTGGTTGCACATTGCTTGACCCACATGTATGATTGTAGGATTAATACAGTAATAGGTATATAGGTACAACGATAGTTAACCCTTAAAGAGTCCAAGACGACTTTCCTTAGCATGTACTCGTGTGTATGCATGGACTCAAGGCCCTGATAGAGTGCACAATTTGAGAGCATTTGGCTATACCCGGAGGAGATAGATGGGGAAAGCCCTGCCTAACCTCTTACCGATTATAGAATTATTAATGTTAACAAAGACCGTTAATTCCAATCACCTTTTCTCAGGCCAACCCTAATCTGCTACCCAAGACATTCCATTCAGTGAGCCCTCTTCTAGCCATCCTAGATATCTCTATTGTTCAATACCTAGGCATCAGCATTATTCTATGTAAAATTTAAAATTAATTAAGTTCACATCAAACTGCATACCTAGTAAAAATTTAATTTAAAATATTATACCTAAAGCTAATAATAATAAATTTAAATTTAAAATAATCAATTTATAATATGCTATATAAAATAGTTTCCCTTTTTAAAAGTATAGTATTAAAAAATAAGTTGTTATTTACTATTACCAGGGGTATGAAACCCCGTGAATTGGCTGATCGGGCGATTGTGGCCTTGAACACGGTTTCCAGGGAGGCGCTGCATACTTGAAATAGGGAATGGTAAACAAGCCTACCCCGCCTATGTTTTGGGAAATGTTTACATAACCGGGAGACTTTGGGTCTAACATCATGTTAAGGAGCGGAAACGTTTCTATGTTTTTTGGAGGTTCAGACTTCAGATCATAGGGAAACAAAACCCCAATCAGCTGATCGAGTTTCGCTTCTATATTGTTCTATGATATTACATACCTAGGTACCTAGTTAAATATAAATATTTACGATTATAATTGATAAACAAGAGTTTTGTAAAATATTAGTGTTTCAATATTGGGTATAAGTACCTATCATTCAATTTTATATCAGTATTTCAGACAATAATTGGTATTCAATTTGTTTCTTATAGCATAACAAAAATTATAGATATACTTCTTCAAAACATTTGTATTTTATTAATTTATTATTAACTACTGATAAAATGTTGTATACTCTCAGTAATCTAGCTGTGAGATAATCTGAAACTTCATTAATCTGCAATTACTTTAATGCCAAGTGGACATTAAAGTATGTAAAGGGTATTTAGATAGGTATTCATATCTTTAAAGTTAAATATTGTACAATATTATCATTATTAACATTTTTATGAACTTTGATGTCCTATCAAATAACATCTAGGTTACCTACCTAATTTATTTTAAATAATTTAATAATATTTTATCTATTTTATGATAGTATGGAAATATTTACTATGCGTTTTACATTACATAGATATTATAAAACATTCATTTTATAATTTTTAGACACCAATACACATAATTAGTTTAAGTATAGATGAAAATAAATTGTAATTGTATTATTTATTATTATAACTGTAAATAAAATTAGAGATTACACTTAAATAATCATTAAATTTATAATTGTATACAATTGTCTTAGGTACATAATTGTCCTTTCTTACATTACTTATATTGTTTCTTATCCTATTTTTGTTTTTAATCTATTTAAGAGCTTTAATACTTTATTATCAGGGTTGGGCCTAGTTATAAATTCCAATAAGAAATAACCCAGTATATAAACCAACAAACTTTAAATTGCATTTTTATTACTTTTTATTAACAAATAAAAAACAAATTTAAGAATATTTACTTTTATGATAAAATATTTACATGTTATTTTACTTTTGAACAGCATCTTGCTATATATTTTTATAGGTTAGGTTTGTAGGGAACTCCCCCAGTAAAAAAGTGTCAGAAAACAGCATCCATTTACAAATTATTAAAATCTATTATTACCCAATCAAATCCATTTAAACCCAACCAGATTGGGGTTTTTTGAGTTACTCAAGTTACTCAATTTATTGTAACTGGTTATAAGTTACCAGCTACTCAAAAACTATGCAACTAGTTACAAGTTACTAGATGCAATTAACAGTTATATTTAACTAAGTTACATTTAAAGTTAAAAGTTACATTGGTAAATGTATAACGAATAATTGACCTGCCAGGTAAAATCACGTTATGGTCGTAATGTTAGGAAAAACAGATGTACTAAGTATAATCGTATGAAATTTCAAACCATTTTGAACAAATTAATAAAATTTGATTTACATTTATAAAAAAAAAAAATAAAAAAATAAAATTTCCATAAACAACTCTGAAAGAGTCAAAATATTTTGAAAATTGTACCAAGTAAAAAAAATGATAAAATAAACATAATATTATGATGTAAATTTAAAATATCTAGGGTTATTAGCAGGGCTCGTAAGTTCGAGCATTTGCCTTTAAATCTTGTTAAGTTGTATTTAATGCTAGATGACAGCTAGAATCCATTTCAAGGTACCACTTTTACATAATGTGAAGTATTATTTTGCACGTTTTTGCCTATTTGGTATATTTATGTATATTCCTGTTCATATTATTATATCAGTATGCATTTTTTTATGGAAATACTATGAAAGAAACAACATTTGACGAAAAAATGCAATCTTTTATAATCTATTTTTTTTAATTGTTACATAAAAAAAATGAAGGGATAATTCATATTATTTCTAAAATTATTTATGATTTTTTTAAGTAAATATTTTTTAAGTGCATAATTTTAGATATTTAGTGCATATGTATATTTTTTAACTTTTTAAGGCATATTTCAATGCATATTATGCCAATTTTGAGTGCATAAATGCATACCCTAAGTATGAACTTACGAGCCCTGGTTCTTAGTTATTGAATAACAACAAAATAATAAAATTGTTGTATGAAAATTTGTTAATTTATGGGAAAATATCTGATATCATAACTTCAAACAATCGTTCAAATTTAATTTGACTTTCTGGTAGACATTTTTTTGACTAATTGACTAATGCTGTGTTGCATTTAAAAAATGTATTACATTTAATGAATCAACCATGGGCCACTAAATCTTATTTAAGGGACCATTATTGATTAATTTAATGTTTAGTGCAACTTGGCATTAGTATCTTAAAAACTGTTAACGTATGTATCTTAAAGATTTTAGTTTTTAAGCTGGACTCATGACATTGGTGTTTATTCTATTAGTTAAGAGGACGCCACACCCGCATGTGTTGTCTTCGTCTTACAAATGTACAACATAGCAAAAACTCTTTTGCGAGGGACAATTTTTCTCGCACCATATTTGTTGTAGAACTACAAAATTTTCACAGCACTTAAAGAAGAACTTTATCTGTGAAACAGCGTGCTCTTTTTTTCAATAGCACCATCCAATCATTTTTTATAAGCAAATTAAAAAACCAAATGTTTAGAAGCAAATAACTTGTATTGTATATATTTTATTGAAAAAAAGAGCAATCTGTTGCACAGATAAAGTTCTTCTTTAAGTGCTGTGAAAATTTGGTAGTTCTACAACAAATATGGTGCAAGAAAAGTTGTCCCTCGCAAAAGAGTTTTTGCTATGTTGTACATTTGTAAGATGGAGACAACACATGCGGGTGTGGCGTCCTCTTAAGCTTTTCTAGTTCTTAAAAAGTTAACAATATAAGTATTGGAAAATCAATTAAAATATTGTACATATTTTATTTTTGAAATTAATTATTTATCAATATTTTTTGAAAAATGTAATTTTTGTAAATAATTATTAGTGCTCAGATTTAATTGCCCGAAAAATATCAAGGAACTCTAAAAAATTCCCTAAAAATATTTAAAAAATGACTTTTTAAAAACTGCATTCAACATGTTAAATAAATTGTGTAAGTATGTTTATAAATATAAAAAACTTGTGAAAATTTAAATTTAACAAGTTACATTTGTAATACACTGTACAATGATAATTAAATTTGATCTGAAGATTACCTGATGTTATATAGCTTAAAATGAAAATGATTTATATTATGTAATACTATGTTTAAATTTCAATGAAGTAAATTGTAATTGTAATTTTAGGTAAATTAAGTACTAGCCACTGCATTTCCAAATAAAATTTCTTGTTTAAGTTAAAATAAAATTTAAAATTGTAGTTTTGTATGGACTATCAAAAAAAATCAATTAAAGTAAACCTATAATATCTAAGCTTGTATTGCACTTTCTATTATTATGATTTATCATGCTATCAAATCTAAACATAAATATCACTATATCTTTTATCAGTTTAAATGCAACAAAATTTAACCAATTTCTTATGTAAGTGAATCCGTATTTACTATTATTTATTAAAATTGTATTAATATTATAAAATATTATTTTTAAGCAAATGGTCTTAAACTTGAAAAACTTAGCGTGAATATTAAATATTTTGAGTAAATAAATTTAGTAAGATAAATTATACCTTTACCCATGTTAAGAATGATTGTATGTATTAAAAGTTTATGGTCAAATTTAATTAAAATACCATATTATTAAAATATTTTAAAAATAATTTTATATTAGAATACAGGATGTAACAGTAAGACCTTACAATAAAAAAATTAAAATGATGCTATTTAAACGTTTGACAACATTTTTTAAAATTATATGATTAGTAAATAATTTAAGAAATATACGCATGTTAGCAAATTCCCAAAAATAATATTTTGAAAAAAGTTATTACATTCCAAATAAATTTAATCAAATAATATTGATATTTAAAAACATTCTAAAAAATAAACTACTTGACTTAGATAAATGTTTTTTATATTATACGTGTAACGCAAGTGAATATAAATTATACATAAAAAAAAAATTTTAAATATTGTGTAAAACAAAAGTTATTTGCCTGTCAGGTCTTGCTGTTACCCCCTATATTGTGTTTATAAATATTTTTAAATTATATTACTCAATTTTTTTTAATTTTATGAATTAATAGTAAAAGTATTAACTAAAATAAATTGAGATGTTTTGTAAAAAAAAAAAAGTCAACATTTAAAATAAAAACTATTAAATGATAAATTAACATTAGGTAGTTATACACAAGTTTTCAATTCAACTAGTTTGAAGGGGAGTTTGTAATTTGCATCAAAATGTGTATCTATGTACCTACCTATTCGATTATTTTGTTGGTACCCTCATGGACTTCGGTATTCAACTGACTCGAGGAACAATAATATTTTTTTTGATTTCAAACTACCCACTGCAGCATTATCATGTTAACCATTACAAAGATTGATGTCCAATCCGTCGTAATCACATTTTTACACAGTATGAAATTATTGCATTTATTATACCTATGTGTTTTTAATAATATAATATATGAATTTATGCCATAAGCTTTTTATATCTCAATTACATAATATCTTATATTTTACTATCGAAATGTGTATACTTACTATCAAAAGAATAATCAATTTGAATTAATTTTGGTACAAATTACAATTCATATTTTTTACGACCTAAGATGGTGCAAAATATATATCTTTATTTTCGTTCAAATTACAAACACATTTCAAAAATGTTGGTGAAATTTACCCATGTTATATATATTTTGGGTCATTTTTGGTGCAAATTGACTACAGGTGTTATAAGTATTTAGATATTATTATAATATATATTTCACCTGTAACCTATGCATTTTAATTCACAATTTGACTTATTGGTTAAGTTTAGTTTATTATTATAATAAAAATGTTTGTACTTTTGATAAATATTTTTAATAGCTGATTACAATTAACTATATGACTTTATTATATTTAATAGTCGATGTGGTTAGATACATAAATATTTGTATAGATCTACCTTAAAATATTCTCCATTATTTTGTTGTGTCCTGAAAGTTTAATATAATATTTGGTTGCAGTGTAAATATGTATTACTTCAAGGTTTTGAAATAAATAAGTTAGATAGGTTAGTATTAATTTTTTATAAGAATTTATTTTAATAATGGATACAAGCTCGTTAGTTTCTACTATTGCAATAGGTATGTCAATATATATATAAATATATTAACTTTGTGGTTTTATGTTTACAGACGGCAAGTTTATATTCCAATTAGCAGCACATCATCAACAAAATTCATACAACAATCCATCCGCTTTAACATCTCCATGCCGTTGGGTACCAGTTCCGACAGTAATACAGCAGCACAAAAATAATGTTAAGTGCATAGGTGAATGGTCACAACATCAGCAAAATAAAACAATATGGCCTTACTCGGTTACCAATATTGCTTCTGACAGTAATTCACCCCAACCGATACAGCAATCACAATCACCAACAGTAAGAATTTGTGAACGGAAGCAACAGAATTTTCAACACAGGACGACGCCCCCGCCACTTTCTCTCATTACCGGTGCTGTTAATACAGCTACACATACTGGCGGAATAGTAGTTGCAACGACAACAAATATCGTTCGCAGACCTTCTAGAAAGTGTTCAACTACAGTAGCAGCAGAAAATGTTACCGATTTTCAGCATCAACGCTGTCAACCACTAACACAATTACGAGGTATACCAAGACGCTCACAGCAACACCAACATCAGGCGTTCATGATGGTCGCCCCTGAGGCAATTAAGGTTCAGAGGCGTTTATTGTCGTTGCCAAAAAAGCAGCGTCTCTGGTGTCAACGAAAGAGAAAATCAATGACTAGAAACTCCCTGTTACAAGAACTTAAGCCCCCTCAAATAAATTTAGAATGTGTTGTACGTAACCTATGGTGTCGGCGACATACAACGGAATTGTTATTGCGCAGACAACTGTCAATCAATAATAGTGGAGATAATGTTGCTGCTGCTATTTCCGCTGTTGTTGATGTTACCCCTACAGTGGCTTCTCGTCATGTTTCTGTCTCTACGGCAAGTGTTGTCGATTCCACTTGTCCAAATGCAGGAGGTAGCAAGCGGCGATCAATGGTTTCTCTATCGCCCTCCACCGCTATCCTAATTCCCACCACCGCCACTACTATGATCATTAGTAATAAGAGTGGCAATAGTAGCCCTCACAAAAAATATAAATTGGGATACCAGCAGCCACAGGAACAGATTCTACCTCCACAGCGACGAGTGGTAGTTGATAAAAGTGTGAAAAAATCGATTACTCAACCTCCGCAGCAAATGATTTCTACCAACGATCACAGCATAACTGCGATATTGTCTGGTGGTGCGGCGGGTGCAAAACGCTCTAGTAGTAGTGGTGCTGTTTCTATGGTAATGGAATTAGAAAATGGCGTTGTTACCACAACCACTACTACTAGTGCAGTATTGTCACCACATAAAAACCTTCATACACCATCACCTGCGCCGCTATCGTTATTGCGGACGTTGCTCAAGAGTCCCAGTGGTGAAAGTGGTTCACCGCCCATAGCTGCTACTACAAACGGTGTTGGATACAGGCATCACACAAATGGTAGCAGAAAAAGATCATCAGTGGAATCGACAACTGTTTCATCAATACCACCTATTAACTCTGCTACCATTAAAGTTGAAAATGGCCACGGAACTTCGACCATTGCAATACCATCTGTAGGTGCTAATGCATCAGATAATGCTTCTGCCGTTCTAACTGCTCTTCATCAACTTCCACCTATTCACCACCCGGCTGCTGGGCAGTTGGCCGCAGCTGGTTACTTTAATGTGTTGTACCATCAAGCCGCAATGGCTGCTGCTATGGCGTATCAAACCCACGCACAACTGCCTCAGCCGTTGCCTAAACCTCAACAACCATCTTTGTTATCTTCACAATTTCCCACCACCAGTGGTGCCAATAGCACTTGGGAACGTCAACTGAACCGGCGGCCGCCTCATCTACATCCATCAGAAATTATTGTTGGAAGTGGAGTTACCAACGCCACCATCTCTTCGTCTACATCGACGGTCGTGGCACCTTACTCTTCACCTTTGGTAGCTGCCACTGTCAATGGCAGTAGTTTATTGCCACCTGCTACTCCGTCACCGCCACCTCCTTTAATGTTGCATCCTCATCCTGTTCACCCTCACCATTTATTGTTACACCATCAGCAGCAATATCAACCAGCACCCACGGTACAACAACAACCATCGCCGTTCCATCAACACAACCATCGGCAACAGTGTAGTAGCGTCAAAAAAAGAAGTGGAGGGGCAATTAGTGATACTGAATATGGTGTTTGCTTAGAAGAAAATAATTCGGGAGTTGTAGCTACCCTAGACGAAGAGTCATCCTCTTCTGCCGGTAAGTGTACCAATAATTGCAATTTCTTTGTATGGAGATTTCTCCAACATTTACGTTAGAAGATAATTATTTATCATATTAGTGATGTCAGTGTAATTTTTATTTTATTCATTTTTTCACCCTCGACGTTTACAAATATTAACTTTCGAGTATCCGTCACAAATTTTTATCCACTAAAATACGACCGTTTGGTAACTGGCCATCGGTAATAATTGTTAAAACCCTGGCCATCGGAACTTGCTAACGAAAGTCTATTGAGTTTCTAACTAAAATTCTCCTGGTGTTTTTCTACCACCGCAACTATGCATTATTGCTGATGTACGTTTATTTTCCCACCTAGTGCCTCTGTATTATCTCATCTATAACTGCTCCTATATTATTTACTTGCATTATGTTCTGTTCGCAGGGGCGTACTCAAGGGGGGGGGGGGGGTTCGTGGGGTTTGAACCCCTCCCATGACCTTACTAACCGATGCACTTTTGTGCGTTCTTGTTTATACATAATATAATTCACAGGAGCAATTTTCTAAAAAAAAATTTTTAAGAAGGGAAAAAATAAACAAATAAATTTATTTTCAATTTTATATCAACATGCATTATACAACGATTACAAGCATTATCTGTTAAGAACTGTATTATGATAACCAGATAAAATTTAAATCAAACATACAAGGTGTATTGATAAGTTGTCGTCACTCTGGACCCCTACACGTATACACTCTTGATTGAAAATATTACCACAGTTCTATAGTCACCAGAGCGCGCTTCTTGTCCTACTAAGGCCTGTATATTCATTCTGTTAAATGCAAAATGTCTTAAAACTTCAGAATTAAAATGCTAATATTTTTTAAAATTGAAGTCAGTATTTACAAAAACATTGAATCATAAAAAGTTTTTTTTTTTAATTGAGTTGGTATAATAAATTTGGAGCCTGTAATTATACATTACATTTGCATTTTATTCATTTGCAATATTTTGATCGAGTAGACATCAATTAGAAAAAAATATTATGTATAATTTAGTCTCTTCTTTGGATATTTGCATCCTTCTTAAAATCTTTAAATTAAATTAAAACTATTATGATTTTACTCCTAATTCTAATAGTAGTCTGGTAGAGTGGAGTATTATTTTCTAGTGCTCATAAAAAACTAAAAACATGTTTAAAATATTTTGCATATTTTATTTTATGATTAGGTATATTATTTATATTATAATATTATTCAATAATAGTTATCTTATAAACTTCAAACTAATTTTGAAAAATTGTTTAGTTTTTTTGGTGTTTTCTTGTTTTTAGCACCTTGCTCATTTTTTTCTTTTGTAAGTGAATATCATTCTTGTTTTGACATAATGCGTTATGATATATTTGGTTAATATTTGACTGTGTATTGAGCAACCAACCTTTGTCAAAAAATTTGTTTATATATTTCTTCAATAAATATAAATTATGTTAGAAAAATAAACAGTGAAAAATATATATGTAGTTTTCAAATTGAAATGCAACATTAAAAACATGATCTTTTACCGGGACAGCTAGTTATATTTATTATATTTAGATATTTTACACTATAATCTAGTACAGTATTTCTCAATTTTTTTTTTGTCGTGAGGCTTCCTAAATTTAATGTAAAACTGTCAAGGCCCCCTTAATCAAAATTATTAATTGTTTTTTCTAAATTAGGTATATACTAAAATTACTTGTACTATTTCACACAGATTAATTATTAAAATGTATAGTAATTTAATATACTTTTGAAAAATATTAATGATAGTATTAAAATTTAAGTATTTATTCTTTTTCCATAAACGCTTAAAGTTAAAAAATAAAAATAAAAATAAAATAATAACATTTTTTACTAGTGTGCCTGGAAGTTCTAAGTACATTGAACCCTACAATAATCTTAAAAGAAAACATGAACACGTTAATCAATCGGAATCGGAATATTGTTCTTTAAATAAACATTTTTCATTTTTGAAATTTATTTTCTGTAGAGTACATTACCATGTTTATATTTAATATTTTTAAAAAGGAGGTGACAAAGTCCCCGTGATAAAAAACAAAATGTTCAACCCCCCCCCCCCATTGAAAATTCCTGAGTACGCCCCTGTCTGTTCGATTTCCACTGTTGAAATTAAATTAATGCTATAGTATTACTCCTAATACATAATGCGTGAATCATGCATGAACGTGTGACTAGGTAGTCTTGGTCTCTTCATTTTCTTTTAGTCAAAGACTTGAAAGACTTATGATCTTATTATAGCCATGTATGCAAGAAGTGACCCAAGAACTACGATTGATCAGTGCAAGGCCATACAGTACACTCAGTTCAAAAAATTCGTTCATAGAAAACATTAGTGGCCTATACTCTGTTCGCCGAAAGAATACGCCGCGGTCCGACGAAAGTCGGTTAGTTCTGCGTATCCTCTCGAGTCACCCAACAATAGCTGCCGGACGTGACTAGCATCGGCGTCGTTCGCTTATTGTCATCGCGAATCTTGGAGGGGAAATAGAGCCTCGGCGAGCGAACAGCCGTCAGCCTGCATGCCGCATGCGCAGAACTGGCGTGTTCTCTCGGTGAACAGAGTAGATGGTTCAATTACTCGAAACCTAGTGCTAATCTTAAGCCACATACACACTTGTAACATTTTCGCGTAACATCCTTTGATGCGGCCAAATTTACTGGTGGAACGATATTCGGCTTTACAGAAAATATTACAAGTGTGTACGCAGCTTTATAATACTGATTCCTTGCCATTGAATCTAATCCCACACATCTGCCGTTGCCTGCTCCGACAACTACTGTGAAGCACCTACGTAAATATTGGAATTTTCTTTAATGGATTTGAATACTGGGGGCACAATTTTAACCGATATACCTATTGTCATCTCTATAATTTTCTTTTTGACACAAAGTTTCCCGTTTTGGGAAAAATTACAATACCTCTTTGGAACGTCTGATAATCTTCTCTAAATAACAGTTACAACCTAGTTAAATTTAAAGCCAATCAATTTCGTTAAGTTAAAGATTTTTCTTGAGCATGCTATGCTGAATTGGACCAACGTTAGAAATTATGTGAATTTAAGAGGACGTAACACCCTCATGTGTTGTCTCCGTCTTGCAAGTGTGTAACATGGCAAAGTTTACCCTCGAAAGAACACGTCTAACTCCGTTAGTTTAAAAATTAGAGTGAATTGATTTCTTATAAAATCTAGAGGTAAAATTATTATTATTCAGGCAACCCTCATGGGCTTTTTATTATATTTTAATTTTAAATTGAATTATGAGTACATTAAAATTGTAAATTCTTTGTACATCTTAAAATACTCATAACTCGCTTTAAAATTTAAATATAATAAAAAAACATATGAGGTTGCCTAAATAAAAGTCTTACCTGTACATTTTATAAGAGGTCAATTCACCCTAACTTTTAAATTAACGGAGCTACAAGTGTTTGCACTTGTAAGACCGAAACAACACATTCAGGTATCACGTTCTCTTAACAACTTAACTTGATTTCTTCCACTCTCAATCATTCGAGGTACATAGACACAAAGAAGTACTTTTTGATCTTTTGTAAACTAAATTTGAAACTATCTTTTTCCTCAATCAATTTTTATAGGGATTTAGTATGCATCCATCTTTCAAAAAATGTTTGGTATACATGTTATCTTTTTCTAGTTCCTACGGTAAATATGTTTTTTACACATATGATAAATTCTTGTCACGAATCACGATACAACAAATAATTCCACTCATCATGTGCCTAATGTATTTAAATAAAATATTATTTATCAATATGTTTGAGGCTTTACTAGAACCTCACTAATACATTTAAGTTTCTGCTGCTATCGTATAGCGGTGTTGACGGTAGCCAACCGACAGCAACCAATCACAGAATAATTAACTTGTCATCATCATTCCATTATATTTTTAATATCTACAATGTAGATTAAATAAATAAATATTTTAGTCAAAATATAACAGTTAAATTTTCAAGATATATTGCCAGTTTGAAGTAATTTAGGCAGCCACATAATTATTTATTATTACAAACGTAATTATGAAATATTTGAATTCTCTGAAACATACCACAAACATCTTACATCAACTTCAATTATTTAAAATGTATAAATGTTAACAAATTTCTATAATTATTCTAGAATGTAAAAACACATAAAATAAAAATTAACTCTTATGCATATTATTTATACATATATATTATTATAATTAATTAGAAATTTAATATTTTCATTTTACTCTTAGATTGTGTGCCGCTCAACCTATCCAAGGATTCTATAGCTGAAAATGTCAGTGGTACTAGTCCAACGGCAAGAGTCAGGTGACACTCGAGCGGAAATTACTACAATAGACTAGCTATTAGCATTAGACTGTTTGGCCGTTTCTTAAAGGCTAACTGAGTATACTATTTCATTATCGTGTCAAATACTATATGTACTGAATATGCGAAAATGTATGTATGAATATAAAAAAAAACAATATTTTAATTTGTAAATACATATTCATGCATACATAAATACGTACATACATATATATTATGTAAAATTATAATATATATATATATATAATCGTTTATTCAAATGTCACGTCTTATTGTTTTATTATTTTGTAAATAGACATAAAACAAAAAGAAAAGTCGCATGTGCGTGTAGTCATAAGAAGATTATTTGTTACAATAAAAAACAATCAATTATACAACGGTTGTTTTTTTTTAAATCGCAACTACTAATTAAGCTAAAATCTATGGCTGCCAGACTGCTAATGTCGTTTGTAAAAATATCACCTTAAAAGCTACAATATTTTTCATTAGTATTATTACAATATATAGTCAATATCAAAGTAATAATCATATGTATTTTAATTATAATATAAATACTCAGTGTAGCCAAAAAAGTAAAAATAAAAATCACCTAATTATTTATAAATGTTACAATTATTATGTAATAAATAATAATAAAGTTCGATAATCATAGTGTGTGTAATAGTAAAATAATAATAATAGTAAAAAAAAAAATAATAAAAATAATTTTAGCATATTTAGGTTCAACCTATAGAAAGGATTCGGATTAAAATTAATATGATTATTGTTAATGTATAAAAATAAAATAGTACGATGATGAAAAAAAAAATTGAAATTCTAAATTGTCGTTCAGGTGGTTGGTGGTGTCAGCCGCCAACAACACCTAAGTCCACACAAAACCGTGGTACTTAGTGATGACTACTACCACCACCACTGGTACGTGATGACATTGAAAGCGCGCCACTAATACATGGTGCTACTATCGGTGCTGCTGACTGATTCGACATGGCAGATGGTTGTCTATTGCTACTACCGGCGCTGCCACCAGTGGACATGTCAAATGGTGTAGCCGATCCTATAGATGATGAATTTCCTGATGTACTACCGGTTTGTGGAGCTGGGGATCCTGTGGTCCCTGTTGATCCTAATGGTGTCGCTAACGATGACGCTGCGGCAGACGGCATTGCAAACGATATACCGAGAAGCGCAGCGATCGGCTGCCAAGGCTTGCGTGCTGACCGCCTTAGTTCCTTACCTGTCATTCTGGCTTTCCGCAGCGATCTAAATAATAAAATACTTGATAATATGACCAACAAAAAGAATAGGAATGATAAATAGTGAATCATCTAAATATGAAAAATTAAGTTAACATTCTTACTATACCACACAACATGTGTTGTGGTCAGAGCCATAATAGTTATCGTACCTAGACAATGTGGTGCATCTATAATAAAGGTCGTCCGGAGCGTCTGTCCACGAAATTACATGCTTTCTACCGGTCCGAGCCATTGACGGTGTCCTATAATGATTATGCTGCTGATGCTGCTGTTGTTGTGATTGGTGGTGGCCGGCCGAACCACTGGATTTACCACCACTTCCAGTGCTGGTCAATTGTAAAGGTCCTCCACTTGACGTACCACCTCGCTGTTGTTGCTGCTGTTGTTGATGTGCCACGATTGATGCCAGCATTCCGTCTACAGCACCTCCACCGGCTACGCTACCCCCTTGTGACGTTGATGAAGGTTGTTGGTGCTGTTGGCTGTGGTGGTGGTGACCAGTGGGTTGCTGTTGTTGCTGCTGCTGCTGCGAGTGATGTTGCTGCCGATGCATACGTTTGGACGGTGGCCCGGCTTGTGGTTGTGGTTGCTGTTGTATAGATGCTGCACAGAAAAAAACATTCATAATTACATTAAAATTTGTACAAATAGTCCCACTCCTACTCTCCTACTTTAAAACCAGCACATTATTATATATTAAAAATTATCAGTCTATAAATACCACTAATTATACTATTTTACCACTAAAATTGTATTTTAATAAAATAAAGAGCCGCAAATGCATAAACTTTATTATATTAAATTAAATAAAAATATAAATAATTGTAGTGGTGGTATTCAAATACAGATGAATACTCAAACAAAAACTACTACTATAACTAAATACTCAAACTAAAAACTCAGGATTTCAAGTTTACATTAGTGATGGGAATTTTTGTTTCTTTTGTGGATTCGTTCCAATCAGTACAGACAATTCCAAAAAACTCGTTAGATCAGTACAATAATAGTAAAACAATATGTACTCGGGTTAGTTGCTAACAATATTCATAATGCACGGAGCGATTGAGTGATCAAGACATGTACAGTGTAGTGTGTAGGTTCTCGTTTCTCCAATCTCCATTGAAACTATTTGCACTGGTCGAGTTACTGCAGGACGAATTAATTTTACAATTTACTACACAATATAAATGTACCAACAAATTTATTTTTAGCAGAAATAATTAATATAGAAATATAAATGTAAAAAAATCACTTCACTTTACGCACCAACAATAATAACAATTATTATTATTATTATAAAATAAATAAACTGAAACTTCCAAAATTAACTTAGGTACTTGCCTAAGTCTTAAATAATTATATGGATAAAAATATTACATTATTAAAAGTGTTTGTAGGACATTCATAATAAATACTATAGCTTGCTCATTGGTCGGTTTTTCGGTAGCACAAATGATCTACTAAGAGTAAATATTTCGCGCCACCGAAAAACCCACCATTGAGCAATTTATAGTATTTATAATCAATGGTAATGTTTGTACCGATGGAGTGAATAACAAAATATACCAGTTTCTCTACCGTTGGGGACCATTTTGTACTTTGATACTATGTACCGATAAACCGTTTGAGGAACAATCAGATTCGTTTCTACGAGTTACTTTGGAACAAGTACTAAAGTAACAACCCATCACTAGTTAAAATTGTGTAAATTTAGAGCTTAAATCAGTGGTCCTCAACTGGTGTACCTAAGATGTGTCTCGAGTTTTCCCAAAATAATGTCGAAAACCACAAATTTAGATCACTATGATCTACCCTTTTCTTAGGCTTAATAATTAAGTTAATAAACAGATTAAAATTAATTCTAATAGAAATTACAAAAATAATTCATCAGTTAAAAACTATTATATACGTTTAGTAAGATAATGTACACTAGTCTAAAGACACTCACCGCCATCTGTTTCGTATAGCCGTCTCTTGTTGGTCGACGACGAAGAGCCTTGTTGTAGTTGTTGTTGTTGTTGCTGCTGTTGCTGTTGTTGTTGTTGTTGTTGTTGTTGTTGATGCTGCTGCTGCTGCTGCTGCTGTTGTTGCTGCTGTTGGTAGAGAGCAGCGGCTGCAGCTGCTACATCAAACCCCGCTGCCGATTGATCATTTGACGAACCAGACGCCCCCACAGAATTACCACTACTGACCGATCCTGGGGGCCCCAAAGCTCCGAGTATTGCGGCTGCCGCAGCTGGATTCAGTCCAACTGCTGCAGCAGCCGCTGCTGCAGCTGCAGCCGCAGACGGATTGTTCAATGCAGAAGCAGCAGCTGCCGCAGCAGCAGCTTCCTGCTTATTAGGCACTCGTTCGTATAGCAAACTGCCATCTACAATTACGCATCCGCATATATTATTAAAATGGTATTATAATGACTAATGAAGTAAATCGTTTTAATTATCCTTTGGAATAACTACATTTCAAACTACAAAAAAAAATATAAATATATATAATATGCGTACTATGGTGGTCGTTATATAATATATATATTATGCTGATATCATTCTTATTTCTCTTGTTTATCACATTATTATACAGTATTTATCCATAAAAAATTTAGATGTTCAAGGAAGTCATAAAACTTAAATATGAATTTACAGAGGTATGCTAAATATAAAAGTTGACAATAAAATAAATTTATTTAACCTTTATTTAGTAATATTTAAGTTTTGTTTATATTTAACCATAAGCAGTTGAAGGGTACCTATGATTATTGTATTAAGTATTTATATTAATATGTTGAGGTTATTTTATTAAGTGTTTTGTTTTAAAATGTTACAAAGTTATTAAATGTATGTAACAATATATCAATATGAATAATAGTTGTATAACATCTTGTTTAATTAGAATCATCTACATAAGTTACATTTGAAGGAAAACTATTGTAACAATTGTGTATTATATTCTTATTTCTATCATTAATATATAATATTATTTTTAACTAAGATAGACTTCAGTTAATACTGACCCGGTGCTTTTGGTGGTTTGGGGAAAGCGACGCGTCCACCCGTTGATGTTCTTGAAGAATGTTTGCCGTGTTTTGATGAAGACGAAACATGATGATGAGACGACTGACTCTGGTGCTGCTGGGATGGCAGAGACAGCCAATCTGGCACAGCAATGTCAGCAGCAGTTGCTGAACTAGTTCCACCACGGCCTCTCCTGGCTGCTATTAATGCATTGGCTACTCGAGTAACTCCTGGTCGGCGGGCATGTGCTTTAACAGCAGCAGCCCTCAAGTACGCTCTTAGTTCATGAACTGGAGCGTGTTGCATTGACAGCATACCTGAAAGATAGCATATTCCAAATTACATACATATATACCGATATGTTCCAGTATATAGCTATTCCAATCTAAAATGTTGTTTATATAGTAAAGAAAAATATTGCAAACATATTGTGGAATAGACTGTGAGATTGATGGGATTAAAATTTAAAAAGTTAAACAAGTATATCAGGTAAATTCTCAAAAATCTAAATGATCTCTTAGTTTTGATTTCATTTAAAAATGTTACCATAGTTCAAAAAAAAAAATGGAATTATTAAACTTGACTAAATCAAGAAAAATGTCCATTCATTGTCTTCCCACTTTATCTTAGATAACTGTATGTATCAAATTTCAAAATAAAACAAGTACCTAAGTATATATAAATTAAATAAATTAGTTATAATGCAAATTCCTATTGACATTTTTAGTTTTTAATTT